TGGGCGCTGCTGCCTGGCTCCGAGGAAGGGCTGAGCTTGTCGCTGAGCGGCGAGGTGGAGGACTGCGTCCTGCCGCTGCTGCGGCGGGCCCGCCGGCTGCTCTACGGCGCGGCGGGCAGGCCCTGCGAGGCGGAGGCGGCGGCGCTGGGGCGCCTGGGCGACATCCTGCGCGACTACTCCTGGGAGCGGCTGAACGCGGGGCCCTGGCGGGAGGTCAGCAAAGCCTGGCGGCAGGTCTACACCTACGCCTGCCTCTTCGGGGCCTTGGCCGAGGTGGCCGCCGGCCGCCCGCTGGCCCCCGCCGTCCGCCTCTGCGACATGGGGCTGCTGATGGGCGCCTCCGTCCTAGACAACGTCCTCGCCCGCCTCGTCCGAGTCCTCCAGACCCGCCTGCCCCGCGGGGAGCGGCCGGACGCCGGCCCGGGGAGCGCCAAGGTACGGCCCGCCCCCGGCCCTGAGGCGACCTGGGCCCCCGTGCCTCCCGCCGGCCTACTCCACCTCCTCTCCTCTCCCTCGGGCTCCCCCGCCATCCCGGGACTGGCGTTCCCTGTCGTCCCTTCTTTTCCCTCCGGGAGTGCCCGGGCCGGGGTGGGGGGAGGACGGCCGTGGAGGCCTTCGCTGGCGGCCGTTGGAGGAGAAGGGCTGTCTCTCTTCCAGAGGATCCGGATTGAGCCCCTTCCAGCCCCCGTTGTGCAGCCAGAAGATGCGCTTCCACACCTGCGCTGCCCTTCGCTGGAGCATTTCAGAGACAACTATCTAATTCCGCAGAAGCCTGTGGTCTTAGAGGGGATTATTGACCACTGGCCATGTATGAAGAAGTGGAGGTGAGAAATAAGAGTTTCTTCCCTGTCCTAGTAAGGGCGAGGATCATCTTCTGTGTCAGGTGTCTTGATGCACAGCAGAGACTGTCACAGAAGACAGGTGCCATGGGGAGTGACTTGGTGGTAGCACCTTCCTTCTGCGATCTTGTCTTTGCTGTGTAGAAGTTGCTCCATAGATGAGGGAAAAGCATCAAACCATCCAGAGCATTCCCTGGTAAGTGCTCGTTGTGCCAAGGAGGGACAGTGCTGGCTGGGATGGTGCTGGCCCTTGGTCCAGCCTCCCAGGGCTGTGCCAGGAGCGCTCTGGTGAGTTGCTGACATCTCAGGCCTGTGTCAGATACACATCAGTGATTTTTACATCTCGGAACTTGGTGATAATTAGTGCAATGGAAGGTGAATTTCAGAGATGTGCGAGTAAGCACGATTGGCTTTTTCATTCACAAGTACAAGCACTGATGTTTGTTCACTGTCGTGTTTGAGTTTCAGACACTGCCATTCAGGAGTGAGTAATAACATGGTGCTGCCTGTGTATCGTAAGCAATGGAGCCAAAATTTCCAGTACTGAGAACTGAACACCTGTGAGATAAAGCTCGTAATTCCTTAGAAAAGGGGGAAAAAACACTCATGCTTAGTTTAAGCAACTGCTTTTGTTCCACAGCCAAGGGTAAAACTGACATTAAGCGAACACACATGCACACATGTGTTCAGGATATGTTCATGGATATTACTGGCACCTGCATATAGAATTTAGCACCGACAGAGAGTTATGTAGCATTAATGATAAAAAGATAGCGGATTTTATTTAGCAAATATGGCAGGAGGCAGCAAAAAGATTAGCCATCCCTCGTCAAGAGAGACTAACAACTTAAATCTCCTTAGCTTATAAGGAAACAATAGTTTACTGAGGTAAACAAGGTTTTAAACCAAAACAGAACAGAGAATTGTGGTGTAATGTACAAATGAACTTGACTGCTTGTTTCCTTGCTGCTCACATCCTTTTCTGCTGCTGGTTGGCTGGTTTGAGAGAGAAGAAACTCATGGTAGTAGAGTTTTATTGCTTTAAAAGATTGATTTTGGTTGTCTTACATTGAAATTAGTAAGAAGAGCAGTATAAAAGGGTAATGGAACTTCCTTTATTACAGTGTGGACTATTTTTGTCAAGTCGCAGGGTGCCGCACGGTCCCCGTGGAACTGGGTACTCGATACACAGACGAGGAATGGTCTCAGAAGCTTATGACTGTCAGTGACTTCATCAACCAGTATATTGTGAACGGGGTCTGTTACTTTTCTTTTGTTTCATCTCCAAATACAGCAAGTGTGTTACTGGTACAGAATATCTGCTTAGAACAAACATGTTCAGAGGTGATGTCAAGGGAGGGGGTATGCTGTAAGCAAAACTCTGAATTAAAAGGTTTGACATATTTTCCAGATCTGAAGCTACAAATAGTTATTGCAACAATAGCTAGGTTTGATTTTTGTTTATAGTCAAATATACAGCAGCTGGAATTTGATTAATAGAAATTTTCTGCAGCAAAAGCATAAATGGTGGAGGCTAAGGATAAGGGATCCTCAGCCAGCAGTTTTGCTCCTTTTGGTAATTGAACTGCTTAGTGAGATCTAGGATCAAGATCCAAATTCACATGCCACCAGGTGAAAAAATTAAAAGTCGATTAGCAGTTGAATCTTCTTTTACTTTCAAAGCTGAGGATCTGAAGCACTTATCTCTGTTTCCTAGTCTTCTGGCGTAGGAAGGACCATGTGCCATTGCAAATTGGTCTATGGTGCAGCCTGGAACAGACTATTGAGATACTTTGATGGAGTGAAGGTGAATTAGCCTGTTTACCGGCAGGGTCTGGTTATAAAGATGCAAAAAAATGTCACAGGATTGACAACAGAACTGTTGAGATGCCATAGGATTCTATCTAGGCTTCTTCCAGTAACTTGAGCTAGGCAATTTGTTGATTTTGAGGATGTAGCTACACTCTTGTAATTCCAGTGTAGCTGTAGGTTACTGTTTCAGACTAGTCAACTGTTGAAACAGCTGTAATACTCTGAAATAGGACATTGGAAATGGATGTTATCTGTAAGTAAAATAACTGACTGAGAAGTCTTACCCTATATGTAACTATGCATTTTTTTCTCTCTCTGCTGTAATTTCAGAACAGTGTAGGATACCTTGCCCAGCACCAGCTTTTTGATCAGGTAAAAAACTGAGTTAATGTTTTTATCTTTCTGCGGTCAAGTGTTCCCTTTGTAACACAAGTCATCTCTGAGGATGCCAACTCTACTGGATGGAAGGGCATACGGAGAATTCGGAGTATTTCTTAAGTTTCTCTTTCCACAATTTGAAGGAACAGAGGGAGGGATTTGTTCCATTTGGCTGAAAGGCACAGAAACAAAATCCTTTTGGGGCTGAAGACACTCAGTCTTACTGCTGTTTTGGTACAATGTAGCATACACTTATAAGGATACCACCTGGAAAGCAGCATGTCCCCAAAGAATACGTAAATCAGGGAAGAGATTTGGACAGAAAACAGATTTCAGTGGTGATATGTTCATCATATTCTGAAATGTCATTCCAGTTAACCTGAGATTAGGTTGGTGGGAGACGTAAAAAGGAATCTCACAGAGAAGCAGTCAGTCTATAAAAAAGCTGCTCCTTTCCAAGAACAGCAAACCTACTTATTCCTGTGGGTTTCTCTGGTATCTGTTAAAGCGAAGTGTCTCTGAAGAATGAGAAACCCCATTCTTTCTCCTGCCTCTCCTTCCAACAGAATCTGTTTGCTAGGACAGAAAGTGTGAGGACATTTCCTGCAGGTTCCCTGCAGCTCAGCTGCTTCTCCTGCCTTTGGTGGACAAGCAGGTCATTTCTTTTCTGTGTCAGGCCTTGTTCCTCTGTTCTATGAATTGCATACCTTTGGAAAGTCAGCACACACCCTTTCTTATGTTTCTTTCGTTATGGGAGTAGATTCCAGAATTGAGAGAAGATATCAGTATCCCTGACTACTGCTGCCTGGGGGAAGGAGAAGAAGATGAGATCACAATTAATGCTTGGTTTGGCCCGGAAGGCACTATCTCACCTCTTCATCAGGATCCTCAGCAAAATTTTTTAGCCCAGGTCTGTACTCTACTTACTCTACACATGCCATTAATGCTTTAGTTAGAGAAAAAATGGCTGAATTATGAAATACTTGAATCTTGGAACCAGCAGCATGAATATTCATCCTGTGCCTTCTGTGGGCATTTCCACTAGTGTCGTGCAGGAATCAGCTTTGACTTTTTGGTTATTCTGCCACTTCAGTCTAGGCACTGGTGATTTGCAGCTCAGTGTAGTGTTCAGGTCAGTCACTCTACTCTTTCAATTAAGCACTCAGATAAGACAACTGATTTAATGATGACACAAAAATGAGCTAAAGGAATATATGGAAGCTTGGGAGTCACTCTGCAGGCACCTCTGCGTGCTGCCAGGAACTGCACTGAAGACTCAACCTCCTTATTCTCAGTTCTTCTAATTACTTTCTAGCTATGTAGAGCCCAAATAACATTGTAAAAATTGGGTGCCTTAAACTTTGAATTTAAAGTAATTTCATTAAAAGCATTTCCTCATATTTCAAATTCTTATCTGCTTCAAGGGAACATGTACTTGAATTCCAATAGTCTGATTTAACTTTTTATTATAGCAGTGTTTGTTTATTACTAACAGATAATGATGCTTCATGTAATCCAGTACATTTTACTGTTAAATGGCCAGCTATGGCCCACAGCTTCCAGTAATGTGCAGATTAAGGACAGATAAAAAACATGTATTGTAATACATGCAGGTATTTGGAAGAAAGTATATCCGTCTATATTCACCACAAGACTCAGAAAACCTGTACCCACACGAAGGCCATATTCTTCACAACACTAGTCAGGTAAATAGTTGCCTGAAATTTTAGTATCAATAATGTTAATTTATCAAATCATATTTGAGTAAAGATACTCTACTGATGATTGTTTTGGGTTTTTTTTTTATAGGTTGATGTGGAAGATCCTGACTTACTTAAGTTTCCCAATTTCAGAAAGGCTGCATTTCAGTCCTGTATTCTGATGCCTGGACAGGTTCTGTTTATTCCAGTTAAATATTGGCACTATGTACGATCACTTGACATCAGCTTCTCTGTCAGTTTCTGGTGGTCATAGATCTGAAACATGCACAAAGTCTGTTAGCATCGCAATAGGAATTAAAAATCAGAAAAAACAGCATCTGGCATCTTCTCACAAGAGAATTTTTTTTAACCCTGATAATGTTCTTCCCTATCATCTGGAGGTTAGAGGTGGATTAAAAAAAAAATCCCAAAAAACAATATCCTCTTCCTTCAGCATGGTGAAAGAATCTGGATGGGTAAATGGAAAGAAGATGCTACAGCCACTTTTATTTTTGTGGATGTTTCTAAAGTGAGTGCCTCTTAAAGACAGTGTTAGATCACCATCTTGTATGCGTTTGTACATCTGAAACAGCTCTATATATGGGCACTGCCAGGACTCTGCTTCAAACTATATTTGGAACATCAGGTTAGTGTTATCTTCTACTTGGATTTAATAACAGTAAAAAGTAGAGTTATATAAACAGTGAGGGAACCCAGAGGTTGAACCAAAGGTTCAATACGTTAAAGAAAAAAACAAAGTTAACACAAAGGAAGATACCAATCTCCTATACAGAAGTCGTCAACTAGTGTTAAGGCCTAGGAACTTTATTAATTGTAGTTAATCTGTAGTGTAATTGCAGTTAAATAAACTGAAGCTTAATCATACTTTGATTAACCATCAGCTGCACTGCTGACACTCTGCCTTCTGCAGTGTTGCACATTTCTACTAAGGAAAGAAACACTGCCATTCCGTTCTGGCACCTGGCAATATCTAGTCCTTGTCTGTCAAATCACTCTTAAAGGAAAAAGCATCCTTACATGAAACTGGAGAGTGAAGTACTAGTACTAAAACCTAAGAGAGTCTTAAGATGATTATTTTTTCCAACACTTCACAGACTTAAGCTAGCATTGCCCCAAATGTCTCATCCTGCTCCTTCCCAATTGTTTTGACTGTGGGAATATTCCCTCTCTTTTGAAGCATAGCTGCTCGTGACCTGGCCTTATGTCAGATGAACTCTTCTGGGTCCAAAGAAGGGACAAAACTCAACAGTGCAACAAGTGTTCAAATTCTAGCCCTAGATGAGATACACAGCCTTAGTGAGGAGACCACAAGTGCTGCATTGATTTTTCACCCACTTGAAGCCCCGTGGTGCCAGGAGCAGGTTTCATTTTCAGTTGTGCAAGTGAAACCACAACTAGGGAACACTGTTGCTGGGAAAGGCTTCTTTTAATAGTTCGCCTGCAGGAAGGACTTGTAGGATTGAGAGACACAGGTGTTTTTAGTCATTCCCAAACATACACTGAGAGTCCAACCCAAAAATATGGAGAACTAAATACACAAAACATCCTCCAAGATAGCTGTGCAGTCACAACTGTAAGAACAGGAAAGTCATTGATAGTTTTATTGTAAGATTCTTAAACTTAAGGAAAAAAAGTACACTGAACAGAGCACTGTTACTAAAGAATACAATACAGTCTGGCTATTCTGCAAGAGTGGGGAAAAGATACCACTGGAAGCAAGTTTTCCTAGCATCGTCTGGTGCTCTTCTCTGTTCTCCCTGTTTTTGATGGTGACTGGGAGTCTGTCCGACTCATACCTGTAAAGAAAGCAAAAGGAAGGTTAATGAATGACACAATACAAAAGGATGATACTGTACAACATCCAGATTTTTAAAATGCTTTATATATCCCCTGTGTTCCCATTTGAAATGTCCAATTTCCCTGGCTAAATAAAGGAATTCTGAAGAGGTTGTGCTCCTCTTAGAAGCATGTTATTTCCAGAAGCTTTAGTGTCATGTCTTGTGTCTGTCCCCTATTTTCTGCCCCCCTTCATCCCCCCACTTGAATATTACTAGAAACAACATGCATAGAATCTGCTAGTGACCATGTGGCACATGAGGCCATGAGGCACAATCCTTGCACTTTCAGGGCTCAGTGTTGCCCATGTATGGTTTACTGTCATAAACATACAACTAAAATAAAAAATAACTGATGTTCAACTACAGTTATAAATAACACAGGCAGTGCCACTAAATATCACAATCCATTATCTAGTATTATTGCACTCCATTTTTTTTTAAATAGGGTGCTTGGTACCTGGAATGTCACAAGACCAGAAGTCATTACACTGCGGACAGCGTGGTTCAGTCTGAGCTCTGAAGTACTTTCTGACACAAGGCAAATGCATTACAATTCCACAGGATTCACATACTTGGCTCTGAAATCAAAAGTGTTGATTAAAAAAAAATAAATCTTTCTAACCTGTCCTTCAGTTTAAAATTAAGTTGTTACAAATGGTGGCAGAAATGCAATGCTTTATTCCAAAGAATGGTTCACATGGTACAGTTGGTAGATACTCAAAGCTGGTAAATGATAAAAGGAGTTATTTTCCTGGAAAGTAGGAAATAACCATTCCTCTGTATTGACAAAATTTAGTTTGAAAGACAAACAACATTGAGCTATCTGGGTGCAATAAAGGAGACCAACTGGGATGGAAAAGGCAACATAGAAGCATGTTAGTTGGGAAGATGAGAAAATGCAGGGTCAAGGAGCAAGACAATACAGAAGTTTTGGAATAGGAGTTCAGGCTGTAACCACTTTTGCAAGTCTAAACTGGCTAACTTATCAGCAACCAAAACACAGTGCTTTAGCATGCTATATATAAGCATGCATGGTCATTCTGAAGTCCAAGACACAAGCAATTTCTGAACTAACGTCCTGGGACCAAAGATGAACGTGTGTCACATGAAGACTGCTTTTTGTAAGGTCCAAAGATAAGACAGCTAACACTTCACTGTTATGCCTATTTAAGGATAAGGAGTTCATCTCTAGCCTGCTGGCTTTGAAAAGCAAGACAGCACAGTAATGTTCCTTATTGGGTGAGTTTGCTTTGGAGATACTGCTCCAAGCCAAGTTTGTTGTTTGGTTTTTTTTCCAAAGACAGAAGATAAAATACCTACACTGGAAAAAAAGAGGGGGGGGGGGCAATTTTCCTTATATACACATGGGCAGCATTACCAGATTACAAGACTAGGATTTATGATTGCCTGCTTAATACTCAAAGGAAAGTATCACAAACTTCAACTATAACCACGTAAGTACATCAGCAGATGCCTGCTGGGGTAATAAATCTTACCTGGATGGCGAGGCTGTGACAGATGTTACACTTCCTTGCCACATCTGGGTAATTGCTGAGAATGTACTGTTCCATCTCAATTATGCAGCGCGTATGCAGAGTATATTCTCCATTTCTCTAAGGAAAGAGGTGGCAAGATGAGGAATTTCTTTTAATTCCTTTTACGGCTTTTCCAACCACCTGTTAGCAAGCATTTGACATGCACTTTTTTCCTACCATTGTGAAACTAACATGCTGACAGTGATACAATGCAAAGCTGAAAAAGCTTTTGAAGTAGCAGAATTAATTTGCTTAGAGAATCAGAATAAAGATCTCACACCTTTAATAAAGATCTCATCCTTGGAAGGTACAGATGAACGAGCACGATCTCCTTAACAAAGACACACGGTTTTGGGACCTTCCATTTTCACATTAGTGGAAACTCTACTGGCTTTCAGCAAAATCTAGGCACTTGCTGCTCCACATATCTTTGAAAATATCTGCTAAATTACTATAACATAACAAAACGTGTGGCAGCAAGTTGGAGATCTATGATGCAATGAATCCAGGAGAAAAGGTATTAAGGTCTCACTTGTCTTGGGAAGCAACTGCAGTGTCCACATGGTAAAATAATCTCAATTTCTCCCTCATGAAGTAAAGGAGATTTTAAAATGTGCAGTAACAGCATTTACCTCAGAGAGCCACCTATCCTCCACAAAAACTTTCAGCACTTGTTCTGCTTCCTTTTTCTTCATTTTCTTAGTTTTAAGTTGGTCAGCCAAGTTTAAAATATCCGTAGAAGAGGCAAAGCCATTTTCTGATGAAATTATTAGGTCCATCTATAGAAAGAAACATGTTCAACTATTAAAAAAACCATGCAATTAGAGGAACACACCATATAGTAATGTGCGGCTTTTTAGCATCCATACATGAGATACACTACATGATATGGCTTGAATCAGAACTGGAAAACAAAGGCCAAAATCTGAAACTATCATTGTTACCTTGACAGATTTCATCTTTACAAGGAAACCTTTCCACAAATAGAACCTTTCCACAGTGCTGCCTAAATGAAGCTGCATTCAGGGAGAGCCTTGAGCACACTCAGAGGTGACAGCTCTGTTTCTTTTTATCTGCTCTTTGTCAAGGTTCTTTTGAAGAAAAATCTTGCTACTAAGGTTTGTCCACCCTGCAGTCATTAGGGCTGCTGGACCTACCTGGCACTTGAAGGCTGTAGCAGGATTACCAATTTTCAGAGAATCTCTTATTGGAAACACTCCTGCTGCTCATCATCACAGAGCAGCAGAGGTTTATGCCAGTAGTAATACGTGCCAGGACAACAGAGGTTTTATGCCAGTAGTAATACGTGCCAGGACAATGCCATCTCTGCAGGGCTGACATGGCTGTATAAGGTGCTTCACCAATAATGGGGGAAGGCAGGGAAATTAGACTTCTGCAGCTGTCACAGAACAGTAAATACACCTCTCTTTCCAGTTAATACATGACATTTTATTTCAATGAGTGTGCAAAAGAAAAAAAAAAGTAAAAGTCTTTTGGCTGGATAAACTAAGTCATCAAAGTTCAAGACATTATGAGAACAGCTCAATAAAACATGTAAGATACATGTCTATGATCACAATGCCATCTCTGCAGGGCTGACATGGCTGTATAAGGTGCTTCACCAATAATGGGGGAAGGCAGGGAAATTAGACTTCTGCAGCTGTCACAGAACAGTAAATACACCTCTCTTTCCAGTTAATACATGACATTTTATTTCAATGAGTGTGCAAAAGAAAAAAAAAGTAAAAGTCTATTGGCTGGATAAACTAAGTCCTCAAAGTTCAAGACACTATGAGAACAGCTCACTAAAACATGTAAGATACATGTCTATGATCACAACTCATATTAATGGTCACTGCTAAGAAATTAGGCATCAAATGTCCTGGAATCTCACCCCAATAGTTCTATTTGGAACTTTAAAAAATTCCCAAGTCTATGTTTACTTGTTTAAAAAGCAGCATTCTGAGTAGTTTATTAAACACAGAATTAATTGGCTAAGCAATAACAAGCCATGTTTCTATTCAAATCACCAAATCCAACTTTGCTATTAGCATTAAAATCTACTGTATATTACTAGACTACTGAAGCCAGTAAAAAATTCAGCAATCACACTGAAAATGCTGAAGAAAGGTGCTTGTTTAACTAACAACTCATATTAATGGTCACTGGTAAGAAATTAGGCATCAAATGTCCTGGAATCTCACCCCAATAGTTCTATTTGGAACTTTAAAAAATTCTCAAGTCTATGTTTTCTTGTTTAAAAAGCAGCATTCTGAGTAGTTTATTAAACACAGAATTAAGTGGCTAAGCAATAACAAGCCACGTTTCTATTCAAATCACCAAATCCAACTTCTTTGCTATTAGCACTAAAATCTACTGTATATTACTAGACTACTGAAGCCAGTAAAAAATTCAGCAATCACACTGAAAATGCTGAAGAAAGGTGCTTGTTTAACTAAAAGCAGATCTGTCAAGTCACTAACTCCAAGGAACACTCCCCTTTGCTGGTGTCAGTTTAATGATAACTGACATCCAACAGGGAATCACTACTTGCCTATATTCCCATTCCCGTCTCCCCATTCCATTTGGGATAAACTCAGGTAAGATGACAACTAGTTCCTGAACCACATCTCCATTCATATCCATTTCCTTTCATTTTAAGATGGTAACTTCACAAATAATGTGATTTCCTAACAAATAACCAACATACTTACTGTTTTTCTGAACAATTCCAATTCATTTTCTGTATAGTCAGATGCCATTTTAGTTATTTCAGTTTCTGCCAAATTCACCTGCAAAAAAAAAATACAAATAGTTAAACTGAAATCAAAGTGCCTTTGTGTTTCCACACCATAAAATGTAAAAGATCCTCTAGGTAAAGAATACATCATCTCACAATTAACAGAAATGTAATTTCTTCAAGTGGCATGAAAGAGGCACTTGATGGTACTTCAGTCCTTTCTTTACAACCTCTGATCTTCCAGCCACATACTCTCCACAGCTCCCTCTGCCCAGTCCAGGCTCTTCAACAATCCCATCTCCCCTCTATACAACTAATATAGACTATTAGTTCTACAGTAGAACTAATTATGACACAAGGATACTGTGCTGGACAGTCACAGTAATTATAATACTTTTATTTCACTGTAAAAAACAGTTACTACTATTTCGTATTCTTATTGCACATGCTACTCCCATTTATTATTAGCTCCACTTAATTGGCAAAATGACCCAGAAAGGCTGAAAGCAGCAGCTAGTGTATATGACACCAGGATACTGTGCTGGACAGTAGCAGTAATTATAATACACACTTTTATTTCACTGTAAAAACCAGTTACTACTATTTCATATTCTTATTGCACATGCTACTCCTGTTTATTATTAGCTCCACTTAATTGGTAAAATAACCCAGAAAGGCTGAAAGCAGCAGCTAGTGTTAGAATACCTCCTGTATGGTCTTTTGAAATTACTATATAGCCTTCTCTCAGACATACACATTTCAAAGCATCTAGGGAAACTTTTTACAGGCCATTCCTTGGGAACTCTTTTATCCTAGGTTGACTTTTGAGTAAGAGAAAAAGAAAACTAAAGTTGGAGGGCTGTGTTTTCCAGCTTAAAAATTCCTCAAGAAAAAGTCTCCTGTGAAAAAGAAATCTCACTTCAGCACTTAAGCCAAGTTTATGATAAATAAATCAGACACTGCTCTAAGTCCTTGCTGCCACATTCAATTTCCACACACCTCGGCTGTTGGCAGTTTATCCTCCCCCTTCCCTGGTTCTAGAAGTAGCTAAGAGTGGACAGCCCCACATTAACCACACAAGGTGCTGGTAGGAGTAAACAGCCTGCTGGCACATGCAGCCTTCAGTTCTCTCTTTTCTCTAAATAGCAGTTCTATTACAGATGTACAGTAGGAAAAGGACCCCAGGTAACTCAATCTTTCTAACATCCAAAGATGGCACTTAGGACTGCCTTATGTTTACTACGCACAGATAGAGCTAGAGTTTTTGGCCCATTTGCAAAGGGCAGGTGTGCAGACCTTTCAATGGCCTGCTATTACAAGGTTAATTTTAAGTCAGAGCCACGGGAGGCTCCCTCTGCTACCCAGGAACTAGTCACCAGAAGCCAAACCACGCGATGGCAGCACATCACATACTTACTAAAGCATAATGTGCTCTCCCATCATCTTCCGACATTCCTTTCCGGATCTGCATAAACAAAGGCTGTAGCTGACTGTTAATAGTACTGATGAAATCATCCAGTTTATCATGCGCGTAGTAGACTGAAAATAAATAAGAGAAAGCACATGCACAAAAAAACCAAACACCACGAGGCAGATCTTTTTCATGTTTTATCTGCAGAGACATTTTTTTCCCCCTGAGGTAAAAGAGCTAAAAGTTAGTGAGGCAGAATTCAAACAGGTCTGTTATATTCATCATTTTCTGGTGCTGATGACCACTAGCCTTTAGAAAAGCTCAGCTCTTTGAAAGTCAGTTTAGAGAGAGAGTCCAAACATTCTGCATTGCTGTATGGAACTCACCACATTAATCCATTATTTACAGTGACTTGCACTAAGTTGAATCGAAAATAAAACATGACCCGGACAAATTATTAAGCAGAATACAAAAATAAACTTGCTTTCTCTCATTTACACACAAGGGTTTCCTGGTTCCTTCATGTTCCGTCTCACAAATTAATGGCACGTAAATGATCACGTTACATACCAGAAAACTTAAAATTCTAGCCTTGTAGAAATACAGATAATATCTGTGTCACAGTCTACAAACAAATTAAATACTAGCAGAAGTTCTACCACAGACATAATTAAGTTGGACTTTGGAGTCATTCTGTAGAAGCACATGCAATGACTTTTCCTTGCACAAAAACAGCACACGCCTTCAAGAGTTTCCATCCAAAACAAAATTATGTCAGTGCCAAAACTCCTCTTGACTTCAGGAGGCTAAGGTTTAAAAAACAGAGTTAAGTAACAACTCGTAACTTTAGAAAAACGATTGCTGTCTCAAAAATACTACCAGTTATCAATAACAATACTTTTCTCACTCTCAAAACTCCACTGTATGGCATAGTACAATGCAAAAACATCAGTAGCAGGATGCTCCTGCCCAGAAAGTTCACGGTTCTGATACATTAGACTCCTTAAGTGAACAGAAGAAGCAAACAGCAAGAACAATAATAACGTAAGTATCATACTAAAGTAAGTATACTGTTGGCAAATTGTCGTGCCACCTGCCTGGCACCTGTCAGCAGGAAACACTGTGTGTGCATCGAAGCCAGGGACCCTTAGTGACAGATCTAAAACAGGGTAAGATGAAAGATAACAGAAGAATATTCTTTTGTACAGCAGCTGTAACATTTTAATGTGAGATGAATGGCTGCTCAAATAGATCTTCTGTGAAAAAACGGGATATAAACTCTCCATAAAAAAATGAATGGGGGACAGACCACAGCAAAATTTACAATTCCAGACTCAGGAGAAATCATAAATGCCCTTTACTATTTGCAAAAGCTTATAACTTACCTCTACAAAGCAGCTGTAGAGGCAGCCACAATAACTGGTTGAACAGAAACTGTTTACTCAAATACATCGCTACTGAAAACAAGCTACTTATTGTCAACAGATTTGATAAGAAATTAGACAAACTAATGTGATCTTCATTAAGTATCCACAATGTTTGTATTCCAACTATGCATGTACAGGAATGTCTTTGTCCTTTTTTCTTCTGGTAAAATATCTCAGAGGCATCAATACTATTTCTAAAGACCGTATTTAAGAAGACCTTGTAACATGAGTATATTGGATGCATACTGGAGCCAGGACTACCCTACTTTCAAAATACTGGATTAAACTGTTTGAAAAGTCTTACTTTCCAATAACTTCCCCTGTAAAATGTAGTACCTTAAAAAAAAAAATAAAAATCTCAGACTTAGTTACAATTGCTGTGTATTATTTTTTGTAACAGAAATAAATTATTTTCTTCTCTAGGGCATAAAATGTAATCTCAACTAATACTATATCACAGATGTATTTACTGTAATCTGTTTTCAGTCAAATAAAATTAAAGCAAACTGCTATTCCAGTACCCAATTATGAACAAAACAAAGTCATTCGTAGTATTTAAAACCAAGTATATGCAGGAACCAGCTATTCTTCTTTCTGTCAATAAACAATTCTCAGCTCTGAACACTTAATAAAGATACATGACAGCATTAGAAAGAGAGCTCATTATGTGTTACCCTAGAACACTGCTTGGGAGCATTTTCTTTAGAAAAAATTATTCCAGTTCAATGACAGATAGCAGATGAGCAACTAGAAAAGAGCAAACAGTAAATAAATGGAACACAAATATTCTGGGGGTTTGGGTTTTAGTTGTTTTTTTTCCTAAATTTAAAAAAACCCTCTTAATAATAAACTCAAATATTTTCCACAGAAAAGCTGAACAGATCCCTCACTGAAGATAAAGCAGAGGTGCTCAGAGAAACCAGAAACTTTTCTGACTGTGTCTACACGCAAACTGTAAACAGCAGGAAGCAACAACAAACAAACTTAACACTCTTGGTTAATTATCACTTTTCAACACGCACTGTTTTAAACTTTCTTGCTTAAAGACAAACAACAGAATCTATTACTTAGGCTGAGATGCCACAGCTTCGTGATAAATTTAAAAACATACACGCACTATTATAAAATTAGAGCTCCCACGTTTACAGCAAAAGACTACAAATAAGCTGAGTGAATGCTGTAAAAGAAAAGAGATAAGACCTGTAGTCATCTAAAACCTAAACACAGAGTTATCATATCTATGTACTTCAGCTTCCATCTCCCATATAACCAGGAGATCAAACAGAAGATTAAGTACAATTCTAGTTTGCAAAGTAGCTTTACAAAGATGTCATGCTTTTCTTCTACTTTGATGACACTGAGCAGATGTAATATAATCCACTGGGAACTGCTGCTGATATTTACAGCTGATTTTCAAACCACATTAAAAAAATTAATAACTACACAACAGCTTTTGGCATAATCAGTTTGCAAACTTGAGAATTACACAAAAAAACAGAACAAACCATGAAGAATAACATGACAAATTACTTTGGATTTTAAGTCACTGATGTTCAGTTTTCATTTCACAGAAGAATAAAAGGGGAATAAAACATTCAGAAAAGTTAATTTATTTGATGAAAAAAAAAGATGGTGGGGTTTGGTTGAGGTTTTTTTCCAATTTCCTTCAGTTACTCTCTTAGTACTAAGATTATCAATATAATAAGAAGCTTCCTATCAGGATTTGAAAATGCTGCCATCTTACTTTATTATAGCTAGAAAAATATGAAGCAACAGAACCATCACCAGGAACAGAATCTAAAAGTTTGTTTACAAAGTTCTTTAGAAACAAAACATCCTTAATTACATTTCACAGCAACATGTTGTACAATACCTCTTTTTTTCCTTGTTTAACAACATGAAAAACAAGCCTGAACACTTCCTTGTAATCGCATCATGTATTATATTATAAATACATAAACCCAGCCAATCCCTGCCTTGGAGAACTTAATGACATTTGAACTATGGACTAAACTACATCATTCACTGTTAATTTTTTTGTATGTATCCTGCTTTACATTATTTTAAACTCACACGAAACCATTCACAATTAAACCTCTTTCTACACATACACCTACGATACGTGTTTCAGTCTCCCCATGAAAAATAGGATTACTGGGAAGACGAACAAGTTGCTGCTTCCAGTCACACCTTTGAAGTGTAACCTTTAAGTCTCTACCTGGGTGATGACTAACACTGCAATACTGGTTCAGTACAATTTGAGACTGGCACATCCAATATTTTTTCTGTCTTCTTAACACAGGGAGTATTGAATTTTGACCCATGGCATATAGTCACTCTTCATTATCTGAACAGCTAAATGACTAATTGATAAGCTTCTCTATATTTTATGATTCAATCCACCCACAATGCATCTGATATGCAGCAAAAAATATTTAGCAGAAAATATGGCCTGCATTACAAAGAACACAAAATAGATTAATTTGTTCTGACCTTAAATTCTATAGATAAGTAGATAGAAATCCACAGCAAAAACAGAAGAGTCCCTGTAGAGTAGGTGGCACTGGGACAAGATGCAAGAACACTATTGAGCCTGGCAGGAGCATGGCTTCCAGAACTAGTAATGGGCAATATGATGCAGATGAGATGGAAGAAAGTACAGCCATCCACCAGAAAACCTCATCTCATCCTCACCATTCACTTCTCCTGCAACACGTAAGAGAAGTAACTGAAGCGTATTTACTTAAAAGTGTTTACTACACTATAGTGAAGTACCGCTGAGGAATGGTGTATCTCACTGTCTGCACTCCCACTGATCTTCCCCAGCCCTTTTTCTGTCGGTGCCTTGTGATATTCTTCATTGTCTACACAAAAATGCCTAGTCTGAGGGGCCAAGAGCCATGTTTTCTTTTCCTAGTTTTGAGATACTTGATGCATTATAAAGCAAAATATCAAAACAGCAGTACAGTAGATTATTCTGTTGTTTTGCAATGCAAACACTTCTCTGGTAACATAAAACATAGACCTCAAACAGATGGCTATCTGCAAATTCCACCACAGATAAGAAAAATTCCCCTAAGCTCGAGCTGAACTTTGCAGACAAAGATATAAGTATAATGAGTACTCTGGGTCACACACTGGAGCAGCTGCTGGGGCTCTTTCTAGAATACTAAATACTAAAAAAGACATAGAAAACATGTAAAGCAAAAATACTTATCTATTCTATTAATCCCTGTTTCTCATATGTAATTTATTTAGTAGGTCTTTCAACAGCCAAGCACAAAATATATTATGCTTGAGAAATTGGTAGGACGGTAGACTCAAGTTGACACCAACAGTTATTTTCTTCTGAGTTCAGCTACAAGGACAGTTAAACAAAATACAAAACATAGACAAAAGCCAGCCTGATACAATCCACGTTAGTAAATGGTTAACCAATACACTCCTTCTGTACATCCAAACTGGCAGAAAAAAAGGCAGTTTTATCTCATTCTTCCATTTTTCTAAACATCCTTTCATGTATGGACTGTATCTGCCATTTTTCTAATGAACTTCACTGTAACCTAACATACAGTCACATCTTACAATTAATTGTATAAATATCATCTTTAGTAAATACAGCCATTGGATTGAAAGGCAACCTGACTTTGTCCCTCAAAATTATCCTTAGGATCATAAAAATATAGCAAAAGAAAATGGATCTGCATTTTCTGTTAATCTTCTGGCCTTGAAGAGTGTGGCAAATGCTTGACTGTGGCTTGTGAATGACCATGTCTTTGCAAAATAAAATGCTGGTCACAAAAATGCCCATTATTGTTATATTTAAATACTCATCAAATTAAGTTGTGCTGAATCCAAGAAAAAAAAGGATAAACTTGGAAATGTATCAGGGGGTAGAGAGCACATGAATTTCAATGTTTATTCCATGATCTGTATTTTTAAAAAAAAAAAAGAAAAAAAGTCATGCTATTACAAAGAGAAATGTGCTTTCCAGGGGAGAGGCACCATCTTTCCAGCCGTGCTATTTAGAGCAGTGTAAGCCCAGAGCTTCACTTATTTATTAAAGCACTTCAGCCGGCTTGGAAGACAGCAGGAAAAATAACTACAAACTCTCCTATTTTTACCGTTTCCTGATTTCAGCCTGGGGTCAGGGTCAGAATAATATTCTAAGTGTTCTCCTCCCACAGACAGTGTCTTGTAAGGGGATCCAACAATACCCAACTCAGATACTACCATTTATTTCCCTGATGACACAAACAGAGGAAAAGCCAGCTGGCACCCACAGACAACACACAGAGCCACCCCAGAAACGACGCCGAGAATTTCAGGGTACCTTAGTTAATATTATTAGAGACCTGCAAGATGTCTTTAACTTTGCATTTAAGTTTTTACTATAATGTGTTTCATAACTGGAGAAGCCATAACAAAATGTGGAGAGAAAGAACATGCATTAAAGGATTCCAGTAAAAAAGTATGGGCGATTATAATAACCTTCCTCAACAAGCCTGCAATTTGTAGCCTAACTGATAGTAAGTGTTAATCTTAACACTTTCTAGTGGTCCTACACAGCACTTTGATAGATGTTTGGAGCTTTTCCTTCAGAGCTGGGTGCAGATTTTAGAACAAACGCTTGTCTGCTAACAGGAAACGTTATGTAGGTGATACACAAAAAATAAGAAGGTGTCCCCTGGCCAAAAGGTTTAAAATTTTGAAATAATCTAGAACAAGAAAATGTGCTGATCTGAAACTGATCTGAAAGTGTTCCCCCCAGGGAGGGAAACTTTTCAGATCAGTTTGCTCAGAGGCTGCACAGGCTGATGACTGCATGACTTGACTTCATTCAACACAGCTTTTTTATCTTTTCATATTTAAGGAAACAAATGTCATAGAGAGGAGACAGCATTTTTATGTACTGCTTACAACCTCCAGGAGAAAGGAATTAATTCATATAAGCTAGTTTTAGTAACATTAGCTTTGATCTGATTTGAAAATTATTGTTGAGATTGCACCAAGCAGTACTAAGGTGTATTTAAAGAAACTACATCAAAACAAGAACTTAATCTAGAAATAGTCTAGTCAGGTTGAGGTTCCTCATAAAAATGCTATTGCCATGATCTTGCAACCTGTGACACCGTTAATTTGCCCCTAACAAGGATGGGTTTGTCAAATCGCTGGTTCTTTTGTTCATAAAACAAATGTGGGGGGAAGTGTTCCATTCAGTGAGTCAAGTTCAACATCATTTTGCCTCCCAATGGGACAAAACAATTTCCTAGGTAAAGCGTGTAATAAAACCGTAACAGTCAAAACTCCCACACTGTATCTGTGTAATTTCACAAACTTTTCCATTACACATCAACTGAAAAAATATAAAGTACTTGGTAGGCAGCCTATCAGCTCTTACTGCAGTACAGCTCACTGATCCTGCATGCTGAAAACACGATCCAGCCATAAAGGTTTTTTTCTTAGGGTTCTTTGTTCTTAACTCCCAATAAACTCACTATAGCCATGCTACCAGCCAAGGCCATCTCTAGCATTTATCATAAATTCTTTTACAAATCACTTGGTTCTTACAAATACTAGAGCAAACCTGTGAAAAGCAATGTTATTTTTCCACACTTGCACTTTTTCAGTCAGAAACTTGGGCAGGTACTGAAATAAGCTCTTTTGGCTCAGGAGAGTTTGAAAACCTATGGAGCCTGTTTAACTCCTTTTAACTAAGGAAAATCCAGAAATAATGCCATTGCCAGAAAGGACTCCACTTGTGGCAGCAAAGCATGACGGAGTTCACAACAGGTTGTGTGCATCAGTGACTACAGTCTCTTCTCTCTTAGCAGACAGAAACAGCAATTAGCAATGGTAAAGTTATCATCCCAGTTAGCCACTGGCAACTGAGTGGCTTGGTTCCCCTGCAGTGACTGGTTCAGCTCCCAACAGACTCACACACTCACCCTGAACTAACTAAACCCCGCAAATAATGGCTTTTATTTTTGAAGTCATAAACACTAGAGAACTAGAAAATAGCCTGAGATACATTCAGTGCACATTGTATCTCAGAATGTGTAATTTAAATAACATTTGCTGGAGTTATCTGCCTTTCAATAGCAATGGTTTAAAATCACTAATTTGAACAGCAGTTGGGTGTTTCCTTTTAAACGGCACTTTTTGTTCTTACACATTTCTTGTCCTTTGCAATTTCATTCATAAATAAGGAAAAGATGAAAAGAGAAGAATTTTGTTCTTTCACTATTTTCTGACAACCAGCAACTGACACATCTAACACCTATTGATTAATCAGTGCTTAACACATTACTCATTACAGCTTTCTTTCAGTTTCCCCACCACATTCTCACAATTAGTGAAGATGAAATACAGATCTCTGATCTGTAAGCAGATCTCTGAAAAAAATTCCTACCAAGTAGATGATACATTTCTGTAATATTTGAGTTTGAACATGAACTTCAACCAGATTTCACTGCATACAATCAAATTTCTGCTACTTGTGCCTTAAAATTCAGCTTGGTATAGCAAAGATTAAAACTAAGCAGCCCACCATGTAATCAGTCAGACATGACAGATTTACAAAAGACAGGTAACAGTATACACTTCTTATTATATTGCAAAGGAAATATTTCCAAATAAGTGTGAAGGAAAACATTCTGGAAATTTCAGCACTATCACAGAATGATATGAGGTTGGAAGGGACCTCTGGAGATCATTTAGTCCAACCTCCCCGCCAAAGCAGGTCCACCTAAAACAGGTTGCATAGGAACGTGTCCAGGCTTCAATGTCAACAATTTTTTTTTTAAAGTGTATAACATATCAAAAACATTTTCACTAAAATAAGAAGTACTCTGTATGAGTGTGACCTGATTAAAACTTAAGTTTCCTCATTGCTGTGTTATTTTACCTTTTACAAAGAGACCACTCACAACATTAAAGTTTCTTAACTTTTTTTTAGATAGTGTATGCTTTTCAGAAATCTAATTATTTGTAAGCTGCCCAAATTAAAAAAAAAAAAGGTTCTTCCACCTCCCTTTGCTTTCTCCAAAAGAGAGACACACCTTTATCGATTTCACAGCACTGCCTGTGTAATTTTCTGGTCTCTGATCCTTCCATTATCCCATGAGACATCAGGACCTGCAAGAACCGCCGATGAGCATCAGTCATCTGAGCTGCCATGGCAATCTTCCACAAGGCTTCCAGCACTGCAAGAGGTGTAAACTGGAATTAATGCACATGTTCACACACATTAAAAATGCACAGCCCAAGCACACGTAAGATTTCAATTAAACTCTCCAACACTGAATCAGAGCAAAAAAGCAGATGCCCCAGGTTGTTCTCAGAACAGACGGTGACTAACTCCGAGGTTTTATGAGAAAGATGCAAAAGATAAAGTCCAACTAACTTTAGCTACAGAATAACCCAGCATAGGTGTTGTGCTACCACACCCCCGGGCTGCAAATAGCGGGGTTGTTCCTGTAACCATCAACAGAGGACCTTGCTTTGTGTTTCATGCTTCTGCTTACTACGCATCCTGATAACTTGTCTAATTAAAGCATAACATACTTCAGACAAAAAATCCTCCTCTAAATCTTCTGAAGAACATCAGAATTAAAGAAAAGCACCTCAAGAAACGCCTTGGCCGCTGCAGCCAAATAGCAGTTAATAGCCCACAAGAGAAAAGAGGCTTCCAGGCCCCTCCAAGCCAAAGGACCGGGGGGGGCTCGCTGGAAGCTGCTCCAGGGAAAAGGCGAAGGAGCTTCCTCACCAGGCTTCCTCCTTCCTGGCTGCTTTTTTCCTCACGGAGACCCACGGAGCGACTGGCTGCCTCTGGCCGAGCCCCGGCCTGCCCCGGCAACCGCCGCTTCCCCGCCCCGCTCGGGCTCGGGGCCCCGGGCCCGCCACAGGCCAACGGGTGAAGCCACGGGCAACCGACCGACAAACTGCCCCGGCCTTCGGCCCTGCCACCCCCGGCCTTCGCCCCCCTGCCCAGGCCCTCCCGCCGCCCCGCTCCGCTTCCCCCGCCGGCCTGTAGCGCCTCGGCCTGCCCCCAGCCCCGCTCGATAGCTCGGTGATCGCTGCACCCGCCTGCCATCGACCGGCTCGGCAGCCCGGGCAAGGCCCGCCCCGTGACGAGCCGGTTGCGGGGGCGGCTCCGTCCCGTGGCGGGGCCGGAGGGAGCGGCGGGGCCGGGTGCGTCCACGCCGGCGATAGCCGATTCCGCTGGGCTGGGCCGTGCTGGGTGTTGTTGCCGTGCCGTGCCGTGCTCTGCGGCGGGGCGGAAGAGGAGGCAGAGCCGGGACCGCCCGGTGCGGAGCGGACCCCGGGAGCCGAAGCGGGCGAGGTGCCTCCGGCGGCTCCCCACTCGGCGAGAGAATGGTCTCCCTCTTTTTATTAACTATGTCCGGAGCTGGATTTGTACCGTCTGTGCGTGGCGGCTGAGGCGGGGTCTGCCGTTCCCCTCAGCCGCTCCCGGCGGGACCGGCGCTAGCCCGAGACGGGTCGGGACAGGACGGGCGGAATCCCAGGTAACAGCTCCGAGACGTCCCTTGGGCTCCTTAGAGGCGGGGGGGGAGGGCGGGGGTCCCTAGAGCACCCCCGGGGATCCCGGGGCAGCGCTCGGTCCCAGCGCCTCCGGGGTGGAAGGGCTCCGGGCGCGGCCGGTCGGTACAAGCGCTGTGGTTGGCAGAAACGTATCTTTCCTTCCTCGGGGTTACCGAACTCGGGCGTTCCTTCTTGAAATCAAGTGATGACAAAACGGGTGTAATTCCCAGAAATTCCCGTTCCGCTGGAAATCCCGGCGGGCGGGCGGTGGGGAAGCTCTCGGTGCGCCCGTCGTGTCGGGCAGGAACCCCCCCCCGTCCGTGCCCCCGGCGGAGAAACGACCGCCCCGAACTCTCTCAGAGCCGCGGGGCTGGTCCCCAGTCTCAGCTCTCCGTCTTTAAAAATTATTCCCAGCGAATATAGATTCTGAGAGAACTTAAGACCAATTTATGCTGAACTCTCAGAACTAGGGACTCGGGAGCGTCGGGTCAGAAGTGAGCTGTTCCAGTCGTTTCAGTCTAGGCGTTTTGTATTTTTTGGCTTTTTTCCCCCTCCGCAACATGTCCAGCTTCAGTAGTTTTCATAGTTTCTGTTGGTTCTAAACTAGAAAATACCTGAACCTACCTTGTTGCTGTGCAGTTGATCAAATTATGTGAAAGTCCTGTATTCCTTATAGATCCAAGTGTAATTCCTTGTTATGCCCTTTGCTGATTTCTGTCATCTCAATATGGAAATATGTTGGGATGCAGAAACCTGGGCTTAAGTCGTAAATAAAGATTGACCAGTTTCAAGGTTTTTTTTAAAGAGAACCCCTCTGCTCATTTTGAGAGGTTCTTTTCATATTTGAGGAGAGGTTTATCCAGCTGTGCCCTCTCCTGCTCCAGAAATGCAGATATCCTTCGTATGTTGTTGCATTTGTTGCCTAAAAAGACATCAATGGTAAGAATGCCAAACTACAGGAAGGAATTTGTGGAACAAGGAAAACATTAAAATATTCATTAAATTACTAATTTAAAAAGAATAAAAGAGAATGTCTTGCTTCTTTAAAATCCACCGTTCTGAAGTTAAATTCCTTCTTTAGTGATCATACGGTGATGCAGGAAATATTCTGTGTTAGATAAGCAGTAATATGTGTATTACGCCCTTTAAGATAAAAGATGGGACAGAGCGTCCCCACAGAAGAATCTATAATCTGAAGATCCTGGCCATGGATATGAGGTTCTGCTTACCCAGCGCTTTCCACTGGAGTAGTCTCAGCAAGAAGATATAACATTAACACAGTGGTGTATTAATTGAATATGGGAATGCTTTACTGTTCAGCTCAGGTGACACAAAGTGGGGACTATTGAATTTTATTTTTTGGCCCTTTATTGAGCAAAGTTGCCATCCTTAATTACTGGAATTTCTAAATATCTTATATCTAAACCTCTTCCTTAACATAGTGTACAGAACTCGCTCCTCAGCTTCCAAATTCTCATGAAAACCCACTTTGTCTGAGCCGCCCACACTTTTCACCGTACACACACTTTGTGTGGCTGCCTCTGACAGTCACATTGCGTGTCAAAGAGTAGGTACTACGAGTTATGTTCCTGTAGATCTATAAATCTGCCATTTTGTTTAGGCACTTAGAAAAAAATCAATTAAAAGCAACAATTAAAAAAAAAAGGGGAATTACTCCCTAACTTTACTTTTCAAATTTTGTTACAAAATCAGTTAATGAAGTTTTGCTTTGCCTTGCTTTATATTGCTTATCTCATTTTAGTCTGCAGTTACAGCCAGTGTTTTAAACCAGAAAGAATAGGACAAAAATGTATTTTAATTAAGAAGAGACAGTTTTAAAATATGGACTGGTCCTTTTTCCTGTACGATTGCAGGAAATGTAAACAAAGCAGCCTTATGTAGAAATTACTATCGCCTGTCTTTTGGGCATGAGTTACTCTTTGAGCATAACAGTCTTGCAAATTGTAGGTTAAATGTGACCCTGATTTATGCCTAAACCAACGTTGTTATTGTTTTTCTTGTTAGTAAATTAAATCTTTTCAATTGCATCATACTTTTTTTCAAGAGAGGGAAATGATAAATGATCAAAGCATGTAACTTGTGCCAGTAATCACGTAGACTTGCTTCTAGACGGAACAGAGATTTCTTCCATAGTTCTAGGGAAGTCATTTATGTATTCTACCTCATACGTTCCTCAAATATATTGGGATTACTAGATTTGCTGTGATTTTAGTATTCTCTATATGTGTTACATACTTTATTTCATTATCTGATATAAAGAACAACTTAAGAGCTAAGAGACAGGAAAGCTATTGCCATTTAAAAATTTTCTCCCTTCGCATTGGATTTATAGTCCACTACTCCTATTTAACAAAAAAAAGTTTGCAGTTTCATTAGAACTATGTTACCTTCATTTTCATCAACGTGTACAGATCTTTTCTCCTATGGGGGAGATCTTTTTGCTCTGCCATGTGCTGAAGCATACGTGCTTATGTGATACGGAATTCTCTGCCAACGTTTCAAGAGTTTCTTGGAAGTCTAGTCATGCGACAGTATTACTTAACAGTGAGCTGGAAAGCAGACACTTCCTGCCTTGAGAATTCTGGGAAAAAGGAGGAAAAGAAGAAAAATTTTCTGTATGCTGGAGCACTTTGCTCTTTTTTTTTTTTTTTTTTTAATGAGCTGCAGCAGCAAAGGCACTTGTGTTCTTCTCAAAAAAATTATTGCTGTGCTCAGTTACATTTTGTCTGTTCCCAAAATGTGAAAAGCTCAGCTCATGAGTAATAGTTTTCTTGAGCGTGTGTGAGAAAATTGTATTTCAAGTATGTTCTTAATTACTAGATGAGCAGTAACTGCTTCAGAGGAGGTCACAAAGGAGTTTCCAGTATAATCTTTTATATCCACGAACAATGTTCTTACCCCTTAACCTCTAAGATTGAAATTTTCCATGTTTAATCTTTAGAAGTTTGTTTTAAAGAGTGATCAATCATGCATGCAGGAACGGAAGAAATATAATATCCTTAAACTCATTAAACATGACTTTTCTAACGAGTGCAGAAACTCGGATTATGGGGTAATTCCCTCGGAGCTGAATCTGGTGTAAAGATTGATCATAAGTTAAGTGCTAATACTTCTGAATATGTTGGAAAAAAATCAGATTCTCTTGCTGTATTTCTCAATGGTTTGATTTAGGTAGATATATTTATAAATAAAAGCTGTGGTCTGCTTTATAAAAAAAATTCTTTTTCTGCCCCTTGCTCAACTGAGGAGGAGTCTGGCTGTTGCCTACCTTGTGTTTATTCCATTTGAATATTTGACAGCAAATGTTGAGCAGCTGTGCTTGAGAATCTTCCCAGTTTTAGAGAGGAGTTATTTGAGGGGGTCTGGCTCTGGTAGCATGCCTTTGACGCTGCACATCCTTACATGTACATAGTGCCCACATGCATGCTTCCAAAAGGTCATTAAATTTTTCCTAAGCTAATCACTTAATACATTTATACCGCAGGAGAGTTACTGATCCTTCGCCAGTTCCTTTTGTCTTGTGTTCTGGTGAAACTCAAATCTGTTAGAAACGTCAAAGGTTGTTCTACTGCTGTAGTTGGAGCAGAGGATATTAAACCACCATCAACAAGTAGTTTCAGTGGTCTCTTCTTCAAAATCTAACAAAACGTCTGCAGAAAGCCCCAACACCACTCTCCTGCTAAAGGAGATCTTCTGAGAATTTCTGTCCTCCTTATTCAGACACAGAGAGAGAGACTCATGAGGTTTTAGAATCAAAAATAATGTGCCACCTGGGAACTCTGCAGATGTAAGAGCAACTGTAGCACACAGGTAGTCTGAACTCGGAGATTAGAAAATATCAAGATCACGAGAGAAGGGGACAAAAGGGATGTGTATTAAGAGACAATGTGCTGCTGAAGAAGTTTTATCCCTCTTTATATTGAACGCAAAGTCATGGTTATTCCGTATGAGTTAGCATGACTTTTAAATGAATTTAAAGTGCGTCACATACACATCTGGTGATACAAAAGCTGGTAGCCATATCTAATCCAGAATATGATCTTCCACAAAGTGGCTATGTTGCATCAGCAGAAGAATCTTGGGGAAATAAGTTTTTTGAAAGTCTTAAATTATTTCACCTGTTTTTGGTTTACTTAAGCAGCTTCGTTATGCTTAAAAAATTCTAATATATAGAGCTGCATAATTTTCCTTCTCTGAAGTTGTGCTATGTTTTAATGTTTAATTCTGTTTTAATGAATCTGCAAGGCTCAGAGGTTTTTGCTAAAATATTTTTCAAGAGGATGACATTCTTGTTATCTAGAGTACTGGTAATAGGACTTGGGGAAAACATTTTTGTCAATGGACCAGACACTTCATTATTAAATTGTTTCAGTTATCTGAGTTGAATCATAGAGCCTTGGTGACACATTGATTGTCAATGATTTTGGTCTAGTGCTTACCCTTTTAATATCTCATATTAGCAGCTTTGCTTTTCTAGTAGCTAAAAGAGTAGGTTCATTGCCAATGTCAGTCTAGTATCCTCTGTAATTAAAACTTTGCAGAAAAGTCTTCTAGCTCATTCATATTATCCTTATTCTTCTACTCTTCTTGTTCTTCCATGAGCTGATTTTAGGGGGATCAGGCACTGCAAGGGATCTGAATCCTAACATCTAGCAGAGTGGGAGGAGGGACTACACTCTTACCTTAATTGCGACATTCATGTCAGCTTATAATCATGTTTTCTGTTGGCAGAATTTTGGCACGGCTTGTCCTACTGAACCTGGCAAGTGTCAATGATGGCAAGACTCCCAAATGCTGCACTGCATATCTCATGGATCCTTTTCTTTTTATATACAACAAATGAAGGTATGTTTGTTAATGTTTTAAATTATTATACTGAAGTTTTTATCAACAGCATTTTCCCGTTACTAGTAGGCAACACTATTACCATTAATTAACTAATGTATGTAAAATGTCTAACTTCAAATGTCAGAAATATTCATATACTAGAATAAATTCTTAGACTTTTTGTTTTTATTGACCTTTTCCCTGTGGGCAAGATAAAGTGAGAATTTGCAGGAAGGAGAAACTGAGGTTTGGTTCCGCATTATCTAATCTCTGTTGGACACCTTGCTGCAATCACAGAATAGTGCAGTTTGGAAGAGACCTTCTGAGATCATCTAGTCCAACCCCTTCCAAAGCTGGATCACCCAGAGCAGGTTGGACAGGAACACATCCAGGCAGGTTTTGAATATCTCCAGAGAAGGAGACTCCACACCCTCTCTGGGCAGCCTGTTCCAAGGCTCTGCCACCCTCAAAGTAAAGAAGTTTTTCCTCATGTTGAGATGGAATTTCCTGTGTTCCAGTTTGTGCCCGTTGCTCCTTGTCCTGTCACTGGGCATCACTGAAAAGAGTCTGGCACCATCCTCTTGTCACCCGCCCTTTAGATATTGACAAGCATTGATGAGATCTCCTCTCAGTCTTCTCTTCTCCAGGCTGAACATACCAAGGTCTGTCAGCACCCAGAGGTGCTCCGGTCCCTTGATCATCTTCGTAGCCTCCGCTGGACTCTCTTCAGTAGTTCCTTGTCTTTCTTGAACTGGGGACCCCAGAACAATAACCCAGGGACATCTCTGTAGAAATCCCATGAGAAATCCCCAAGAAAGCACGTCTCTCATTTGCTTATTTTCATAACTGCCGCTGTTGGCCATGCGGGACCTTGAGGGAGCTATGCTCATGAAATGGAGCCTGAAGATCTACTGTTAAAGGGCATCTGTCAATTTGTGTTCCCCATTGTGCAGAGTTACTAAGTTGGAAAATTTAGTTGACTGGGTTTGAACAAATTTTGCAGGCACTTGCTGTCAGACGTTACGTGCTGCCTGCCGTGCCTGTACAGGGGCAGGTGACAGACACGGGATGTCCTACGTGTTCTGCACGACACCCTTCTTTTGGTCTGGCAGGACGTGGAGCTGCGTTTATTCTTAATGCTGCTTGGTAGCTGATGGTTGTATTCTGAAGTTCAGCTGGCAGGGGCTGAATATGAAAACGGGTTTTTCTTTGTGTCTTTTATGATATTTGATTATAAAGACAAGTTAGATAAATGAAATAATGTTTCCTGCTTTCTTATTCTCTGGTAAATGAATCTTACATTTTGCTTTCTGTAGTTTTTAAGTAGTTCTGCAGTAGTCTACAGCTTTAGAGTTTGTTTGTTTTTTGTTTTTTGGTAGGCACTTGCTGTCAGACGTTACGTGCTCTGACTTGTGCCTGTACAGGGGCAGGTGACAGACACGGGATGTCCTACGTGTTCTGCACGACACCCTTCTTTTGGTCTGGCAGGACGTGGAGCTGCGTTTATTCTTAATGCTGCTTGGTAGCTGATGGTTGTATTCTGAAGTTCAGCTGGCAGGGGCTGAATATGAAAACGGGTTTTTCTTTGTGTCTTTTATGATATTTGATTATAAAGACAAGTTAGATAAATGAAATAATGTTTCCTGCTTTCTTATTCTCTGGTAAATGAATCTTACATTTTGCTTTCTGTAGTTTTTAAGTAGTTCTGCAGTAGTCTACAGCTTTAGAGTTTGTTTGTTTTTTGTTTTTTGTTTTTTTTTGTAAAAGCAAACCAAAATAGTTAAAAGAAAATTTAAAATAGACTTTCTATAAAAAAGAAGGTTTATTAGCTACTTTCTTATGTACTGTGAATTTTAATTTGAATTAATGAGAAGAATCAAGGCTTGCGAGAGCGCATTGGCTGGGTTGTCTAACCTAGGTAATCCCACATTTTCTGTAAATGATCTTCATCAAGGTTTAATTTTAGAGATCCTTTTTCCCCAGTTAGCTGCATGTTTTACGTTTCTTAAGCCTGGTGTTCTAGTTGAGGATTAAAAAAGAAATCCAGTATTTCAGTTCCCTTTTTTAAGAGACTGAAAACCCTGTACTGTATGTGGTTTCAAAAGGAAATTCTCAAATATCTGTGGTTTTAAAAAAATACAGTCTACCAGAGATGGTGAAGGGAGAAGGTCACAGGAAAAGAATACAGAAGGTAATTTCCAGAGTTCTGGAAAGACATGAGAACACTGAAAGGCAAGATAAAGTAAAGCTGCTAATCACCATAGCTTAACACAGCAGGAAGAGCTTTATTTACTTGAAGTATTCTTGAAAGTGTAAGATCATTAACCCATTGAAAAATAATGATGTTCATCTTTAAAGGGCTTGAAATGTTAGTACCTCTTTTAAAAGCGCATCTTAAAGTGGGAAAAGAAAAGAAACTAACAATAAAAATACAAATTGCGATCAAATATAAATAGCAGCAAGAGGATAAATAGATAATGGCTCTTTTAAAATAAATGAGCGGTGTGAGCGTTACAGTAGTGCAGAAGTTAAAGATTAAACTTGCTGCTCTTCTGATGATACTTGGGGTTTTTTTGAAGAATCAGGGACCACACAGAACAAAATGGAGCTAAATGTGGTGCTGCCGTCCAGAAAGGATGTAAGAGTGATTTACCTTATCTACAAGGTAAATCTCTAGCCTTAGTAACTAAACCAAAACATTTTCTAAATATTTGAACGCTAGTGGAACAGTGAGCTGCAGTCAATCCTAGGTTTATAACCAGTCAATATACAAGACGATTTAGGTTATGTTTTTTTATAGAATTTTTAAGTGATTCCTTGGCATTGCCATAACTTCTCATTTGCGTAAGTGAACCTCGCTGAGGTTACTGAGTTTACTTAGCTGATCCAGGACTGGTTGGTAGTCAAGTTTTGTGCAAGGCCTTTTAAGAAGGCAAGTGAAAGTGATGTGTGGATTTTAATGAGAGTGAAAGACCACACACTGACAGTACTAAACAATTAAGTGTTTCTTTGAGTCACGTTTTTATTGAATTACCAGAGGGTCTGGTGGTAGATCCCATTGTATATATTGTCTCATGCCTAATAAAAGGCATCTGACCATCATGTTTATTACATTTGGAGATACTGTACAGTATCACAGTATGCAGAAGTTATATCAGAATAAAAAAAACACAAGTGGACTACAGAGAAGTAGAAATGTAGGAAGGATAAAATGAAACTATTTATTTTTGAAAACAGAAGTTTTTGCTTGGGGGGAATGATCTAAAACTGAGGTACCCTTTGGAAAAAATAAGCCTGTGAAGCAGCAGTGGCTGAAGGACAAAGGCCCTACGTGACATGAATTGTTGGCAGCATCATCTTGAATTTGCAATGTAAATTACAAGAATGGAGAGTTAGTAATGTACAGGGCCATGTAAACAAAATTATTTACATACTATAGAGACATGAAAATAATGTCTTTATATGGCTCTTGTATAATTTGCACAGGAAACCTTCTAGCAGAATCCCTTGGGAAACTATCAGAAAAATATCAATAGGATACTAAAAACCAGCCAAAACTATTCTGATTTTTTATGGGGAATTGAGATGTAGAGCAGGAGAGAAGGATTTAGATCTGTAGTTTATGCATGCAAAGTGAGATAATGTTAATATTTACCAATAACAGAGAAGTCAAACATCAAAGAAGGCAAAGAATTGTTTGGTATGATAAAAGTATTACCTGTTTCTGACTTATTCATTTAGAAATTATCACTTTCCAGTACCGCATTTGGCACAGTGTTAGTTCTAATAACAGCATCACACAGCTCTTCCTCTTCTGTTCCTTGTCTCACTCATGTGGAGTGCATTGAAATAATGGAAAATGAGGCTGTAGGAGATACTGAGGATTGTGTATTCCATTTCTCTTTCCAGTCCTAACATAGATATTTTGATCAATGATTTCTATTTTTTTTCTTAAATACTGCCAGTGAAAGAGACTGTAAATGCAAACACTGGGAGTGCAGAGACTTTGGGCTTTTCTGTACCCTCTCAGTGCCTGGAACAATGTGACTAAACCTCTCCAGCTCCCCAGACACTATCATAACAGCGAAAAGTAGAAGACAGAACAGGAAATGCTGAGTGAAATTGAGAGAAGATGTATACTAGAGGAAACCCTGTGACAGGAAGATCTTCTAGGCAATGGGGAACCACTCTGGGGAGGCAGAGGGCATGCGTTTGGGAAGCTTAGAACCATTGTGGATAAAGCAGGAGTACGTGCCTGTAGGCAGTGATCATGGTCTGACTGCATGATCTGCATTTTGGCTTTGGAACCTTTTGTATTTAACACATAGGATGATGCTGTTTTATAATAAATTAAATGTTGATGTGTTTTAGATAGAGCTATCAGATTTTCTGTGCTTGGAAGATTGTGTTGGATGCATTGTGCCTTCCTATTTCAAGTATTACTACTGCAGACCTTCTTCCTCTCCAAGACTGTAAAAGTCTCCAGAAAGGTGGAGACATTTGGTGACATGCATCTCTTTCCATTTACCCAGAACATGAAAAATAACAGTGCTTTCACTTAATTTATAGGAGGTTGGTAGTTCTGCTTAGATGGAAAAGTTAATGTTTCTGCTTAGTCCAGTTTATTGATTCTCTCACTTCTGTGTGCTGCTTCTCCCTAGTTACGGCTGCAGGACGTGTACAGGAGTTTGCATGCTTCACTGACTACGACACAGAGCTGGTCTGTCACTGGAAGGTGCCCGCACAAACAAATTGCTCCAAAGAATTCCTGCTGTACTACACGAATGCATTACTTCCTCAGGCGTAAGTATTTAGTAAGATCTTACATTATCATTGTTGGAACTTCATATATCCTATAGCCATTATCAGCTTCGATTCCCTTCCTCTACCATGGGTGTCTGGGGCAAAATGTAATCCAGATTATTCTTCTTGCCAAGAGGAAAACGGGTTGCTGCAATAAACAGCACGCTACGTTCAGTGATCTTCTGCAGACCTCTCTGCACTCTTAGTACAGAGGAGTGATCAAGTCCTGCTTGTTGGAGCTGTAGGGCTCTCATAGGTTTACCCAGCCTTCATTTCATGTGAAATTTTACTGCCTTAGGGAGAAATCTTACCTGATTTACCGATCTGTAGCCTCTGTGAAAGGAACTCTCCCATGGAGCCCAGGGGATTATTTGTGCATACAATCTAACCCTGTGTTCAAGCACAGACTGTTGTCCCAGCAGGGGCAGTCATCATCTCCTACAAAGGAAGATCCATCTGGGCTCTCCTGTTCCTCTCCACATGATTTCTCCACACTGCAGTAAACCTGTTCCTACACTAGCAAGTTGTCAGTCTGCTCCTTCAGAAGCTGAAGTGTGACAATGGGTGTTAATTTTTCCTCTTGGGATCAATCCTCAGCCTTTCTGTCAAGTTTTTCATTTCTGCAATACAGATATCCAAGAGGTGTTTGCAGCAGTTTGGATTGTTTGGGGGTTTAGCAGAGCTCAGGCTTGGTTTGGATTTGTTTGAGCTAGAACTTTGTAGGAACTGAGGTTGTTTGTCTCTGATTCGATGAGCTCTATACATTGGGAAGCTTGATTTCACCTTTTCAAGAAATAGTGTGCCACACTCTCTAAACATCACATTATTTTCTGCCTGTTTTTCAGAAATAATATGTGTGTCCCTGAGAATGGAAAAGACAGTTTAAGGTGCACTTGCACAATATATCCGGGTTATTTTGTAGCAGCCCTCACGTATATTCTAACTCTACAGTTCAATGGGACTGATATGTGGAATACCAGTGTTACACCAGCCCTGGTTGGTAAGAAACTGTTTGCTTTGTCACCAGGACATCTGGTTCCAGGCTTTGCAATTCTGTCTAACTCCTCATTCGTGTCGCTGGAGCAGTTTTGCCTTCTCAGAGGTGAAAGGTGCCATGCTGGCTTCAATGCAGAATGCATTTGGCTTGGAAACCTGATTTTTAAGGGAAGAGTATAGTGATTCTTCCTCTCACTGTACCCTCAGCTGCCAGCCAGCAGCAGTTTGGGAGCTTAGACATGTCTTTAGTGCATTTTACTTGTGGCTGTAGAATTCAAGGATGAAGAGGAATGTGCTGCTTCCTGTTTCTAGAGAGACACTAGGCTATCCCTACTGAAATTTCTTCCATTCTCATCTCTGTCATACTCTGATTTCCCATGCTAGTTGAACCATCACACTCCGCAGAGATTTTTACAGTAATTGCTGTTGAATTACAACAACCAGTGATAAAAAGTTAATGACTCTGCTCTTTCACAGGCCAGAGCATAGATCCAGTTTATGTCTCTCTGTGGACACCTGGTTTGTTTAGAACAGTGTGCTTGTTCGTACGCTTGTCACCTCAAACACTCCGAGAAATCATTCACATGCCTGAGGCAGGCATTCAGCCGCAGCCACGAGCCAGTTCTTTTCAGAATACCTGATTGTCACCGTGCTTTATCAGCAGAATAAGCCGGAGCCTGCATCAGTTTCTCTGAGACGGGCAGCCAGCACAGCCTGGCTGTGAGGATGTCAGAGGCTCTGTGCCTGCCCCACGGCACAGCACGCTGTTGTGAGGGAGCAGGTTGGTCCCAGTTTTCCAGGCTGAAATCTGTGTCCAGTGCACCAAAAGGTTGAGCTTGCAGTTTCTTCAGCCAGCTTGAGGATTCAGTGCTTATTAATGAATACCTTGCCCTTGCTCTGTTCTGGCCTCTACATCCTTGTGCTGCAGCTAAGCGCATCGACTGCGATGAGATTCTGGTCTCTGGTGAATGTTTGTCTCTCTGCTTCTCTGCATCAGTGCTTTCCCATTGCCATGTTCTCCTTAATTGTATTTTTTAACATACAGTTAAGCCAAGGGCCCCCAAAAATCTTGCCATTGAGAAAATTGAAAATGGTAATTTCAATCTGAGCTGGGAGGAGAGTTATTCTTCTCAATCCACGCTCTCTGGACAGCCGGTCATCTATGAAGTGAAATACTGGAGGAAGCAGCACCCGACAGAGGTAAGAGACATGCAGTCTCTTCATTTTCTGTCTCTCTGGAGCTTTCAGGTTTAGAAAGTCTTCTGAAAAGTCTTGAAACCATTTCACGAATAACAGTGTAAGGGCCAGCAAGGGCAAGTCCCACAATGTTCCTGATCACACACGTGCCATAGCTCACATTGCCCCAAGGTGGTTCAACTGGGCTTTAAAGGATTGAAACCCTTCTGACTGCCACCCCAAAATGGTCTGCTGCCCACAGTAGACAGGGCAGAGATTGACAATACAGTGCTTTTGTTCCCTGAACTTCATTTGCTCCTTAGACATCAGGAAGCTGGAGGCTGTTCATGATTCCGTGGTGCACTTGAAGCATTTCAGACACCTTCCTGAGCAATCCAGCACTTCAGGACTGGGCTGCTTCTGGTAGGGGAAGAACATGCATGGTGACATGTCACAAGTACTACCAGATCATGACAACAAAATGCAGTCTCACACACAGCAGATTAGTTATACCATCATTCATTTGCTCATTTGTGAAAGGTTGCTGAAACACCTAACACTGTTGTTATTTAATTGCTGTCACTAACCCTTCACCCCATAGAGAAATCAAAGTGAACTTTCTCACTTTCTTTTCAGGTTTCTGTAAAAGCAATTAACTACCAAGCAAAAAGCTTTGAAATCACTGCAAGCTCCTTGAGGAGAGGCTATGATTACGTTGCGAGTGTAAGGTGTAACTATACAGAATACCCGGCCTACTGGAGCGAATGGAGTGAAGAAGTTGAATTTCACTATGGTAAGTATTGTGACAAATAGCAGCTTGATAAAAGGATGGTATAGTTTTATAAACCATATCATATATACCCCACTGCTCTCCTCTCAGAGCAGAGTTATGGACTCATCATCTTCATGCTTTTGGATGTATTGTGGATGTGTCTGTAAAGGCTTCCAAAGACACTAAACATAAAAGGGCAACTCCTGGGGAAACTACGGAAGAGAAGACCAAGGAAAGTTGGATTGTTCAGCCTTGTGGAAAAAAAAGGCTGAAAGAGGATGTGTTTATTCTCTATAAATATCTCATGAAGTAGACACCAGGGAAGGAGAAGAGATATTTAATCTAAAGAAAAACATTGATGTAAGAACAATGAACAAGTGATATTTAGGCTGCAAATGAGACAATACTTTAACCATCATCAGAGGACTGGGAGTTTATAAAAATCTCTGAAGAGCAGCAGAGAGGAAAAGAAGCACAGCTGCGGTACAGTGGAGATGGTAATGCCACTGTAGGGACCGTGTGACAGGTTTGTCCCCGAGAGCTGACAAATGGCCTCACGGTTCGTTGGCTTTCCCAGCTCCTAACACTCCCGGTAACTGGCTGCAGGACCTGCACTGATCTTTGGGACCTGCCACTCACCATCACCACCCGTAGCTGTGTGTGCTCTGTTGTTTACCTGCTGGAGGCTTTATTTTACGTCCTCTAAAGGAGCATTTTCTAGGGTGCAAAAGAACAGCGATGAACTTGGTACTGCCAGTACTTGTATTTATGTGCACATACACATGTAAATGTATATGCTTATTTAACAGATTACCAAGTAACAGCTGAGGACATTCTGCAGATGGCTGTTCCCGTATCCTGCATACTGATCATGGCAGTATCTGTAATTTGTTACTTCTGTTTTACCAAGTACGTATCGTACCGTTCACAGGTTTTATAGAGTAGCAGTTGGCGCAGATATCAGTATTGCTATTGATTAGCTGAATGTCTAGCTGTACAGAAATCTAATTTGTTTTTCCTCAGGGCCTCTATCTTGCTCTCTATGAGCAAGTGTTTTATAAACATGAATCAGTTGCACTCTGTCATTTTCTGAATAGGTAACTGAATATTCTCTATTGATCTTACTAGAATGGGCTTGTTATAGCATCCAAAACAGGCTGCAGTTGTGGGGTTTGTCAGTTTTGGACCCCAGTTTTTGCTGAAGTTCCAGTAATGATGGTTAAATATTTGTATTTCTTTAAGGTTTTTGTTTAGTGGTAATGTGAAAGTGGGAACCAATCTGTTTTGCTCATCATTTCCAACATGATTAGAAAAACATGTGACTGTGGTTGCGCAGAGCAGTCACGCACCAAACTTATAAACATCTTTGGACTAGTTTAATGAAAAGCAGCACTTGGACATGCACAGAGCAAGCACTTCCTGTTGCTGCAATGCAGTTGGCTGAGAGGGAGAGGGAAGTGTACACTGATGCAGTCAAAGCAAACAATTTTAATTCTTCCTTTGCAGAGTGAAGAAAGAATGGTGGGATCAAATCCCAAATCCAGCAAAGAGCCATTTGGTCATGAAAAATGTGAAGGTAAATAAATGCAAAAAATACCTTTTCCTAATCACCAGAAGTAAAATACGTAATAAGTGTTAATGTCTGGCTAGTGCAGGGGATACTAAATACAAATCATGTGTTCTAAATCTCATTTGTATCTTTATTAGTTTTCAGTTATGTGCTACATTGATGAAATTAAGTTCCCTTTCCATGACTTAAAGCAGAGTCATATGGAAAACCAAATGTAAGTAAGATAAAGGGAAAAAAAATCTCTGCTTTACAGCATAAAATAGTTTCCTATTACATAAACATTAACTGTCCTATCTTTTTGACTTCCAAAAACAGAAGTTGCAAGAACTGTCTGTCTCAAAGTTTGTCAAGCCAAAACTTCAAGGGAAAAGATAACATCAGAAATGTTGAGAAATCTTGCAGTTGCTACAGCAAGTCTGGAGAGTGGTTTCCAAAAGGCAGCAGTGCAGTTTTAACCCCCGAGACAATTCTGGTTGAAGAGTCTATAGAAATCTGTGAATGTTTAACAGACACTGAGACGGAGAGCCAGGAAGAGACTAGTGACCAGATCACCTTGTTTGAACCTTGTGAGAGCAGTGTCAGTGCTTTCAGGGAGCACACTGAACACAACGATGCACTAGCTAGCATGTTTCTTGAGCTCCTGGCAGATGAGAACAACATTCAAGACAATAAAGTCCCAGACATCATTACAGGTGAGAATAAAATCATGGAGAAACTTGAGTCAGAAAAACTATCACAGCGAAACTCAAAAGAAAGCACAGCCTGGAGTCAGCAGCCATGTGATATTTCTCAAACAGTCTCCCTTTTCACCAAAGCCTCCCAAGATGACTACAATTGTAGTACAGCCAGCAAGAAGTCAGAACAATCAGAAGAATCCTTTGAATCTGGCTATCAGAGCGCCAGTGTAAATTCTGCTTCTCTGGATGGAAGTGATCTTCAACATAGGGTTCATGAAAGCCTTTTTCCATGCAGTTCTGAAAGTCAGCGTGATTCATGCGTCCTGATCCAGGAATCTCCAGATAAACTCTCCTTTGGGACCAAAAATGACAGAATAAGCGACTCTACACACAAGAGTTTTGATACCCTTGTGTCTCCATCCATGGAGCCCTGTGGTTCTGCCTACAAGAGCTTCAACAGCCTTATGTCTCCATCCATGGAGCCTTGTGGTTCTGCCTACAAGAGCTTCAACAGCCTTATCTCTCCCCCTGTGGAGCCCTGTGGTTCTGCCTACAAAAGTTTTGACACCCTTACCTCTTCATCCGTGGAGCCCTGTGGTTCTGCCTACAAGAGCTGTGATACCCTTATGTCTCCATCCATGGAGCCCTGTGGTTCTGCCTACAAAAGTTTTGATACCCTTGTGTCTGCATTCAAGGAACCAAGTAGCTCTGGGTATAAGAGCTTTGATACCCTTATGTCCCAGTCTATGGCTAACAGTAGCCTAACTCTGTGTGCTGAAAATGTGTGCTCCTCCCCACCTTTGACAGAGTTTTCAGAGACACCAGAACTTAGCTGCAGAGGTCAAATTTATCAACCCCCTAGGAATCAGACGTGTTATACCAACTACGGATCTCCCTGCACTGAGCTTGATTTTCAAAACACCTGTTCAGAACTTACTGACTTTCCATCTTTCTCTACACATGCAAGTGACAGTGCTTCAGCTTTCCTACCAGAGGAAGAAAAACATAAGCAAGTAATATACCAAAATGTTCAAAAGAAAGCCAGTATAATTCCTTGCCCCATTGGACCTCCACCATCTGGTTATAAATCTTTTGATAATGCAGTTAAATGTAATGGTACATACTGTGACAATGACAACGAGGTTCTCTCTAGGTCACTGAATGAACCTTTCAGTCATCTTTTGTACAACAACCTGAGAGAAATGCCTCCAGATACCATCATCTGTCAACCTGACCAGAGGACAGATGACCATCTGTGTTTGCCTGTACAGGGTTTTGATGACAGCATTGCTCCAGGTTTAGCCTCTAGTGAGGATGTCACAAAGACCAGTGATGGCAGTCTTTGGATCATCAGCTCTAGTGAAAGCAAGGATGAAAATAGCAGCAGAGACGAACAGTTGTTGCATTTGCTAGAGCCGAACTGTCAAGATTTTAACAGTAGAGAAGGAACTGTAAAGGGCACAAAACCTAACAGCTTTAACTGTACTGGTAAGGGAACGCAAGAGAGCAGCAGTAACAGACTGAACACTGACTTTCACTGCCACACACACAACCACTTACTGAAACTTGGAAATGCAGGGGAAAATAAAGAGGTGCTAAAGCATGCAGTAGGGGGGCAGCGTGATTCAGCAGCAAGCTTACCAGAAGAATCACTGCACAGCACTGGGCTACACTTAGAAGAAAAAACTGCCGAGCCCCTGGAGTTTCTGGTCTCAGACACGTTGTCACCTGCTCTTTTTGTGGGTGACTCCTGTCCTCATTCTCACACCATTCACAGTGAGGGTTCCAGACTGGCACCCGCAGTTCAAAAAGGACCAGTAGAACTGTTGAGGGAAAAGAACAGGAAGAATGAGAAAAAAATGAAACTTGTACAAGCCCTTGCTCAGGAGGAAGACTGCTACATGCAGGTGGCCTAGCCATGCTTGCCAACACTGAACCAAACCAGCCTTTGGAAATAAACTATATTGCAAATTGAAATGTTGCTTGTTCTTCCGATCTTATCCGAAGTGAGGCCTGCCACACTCCAAACATGGATTCAGTGGGCTGTAACCCCCGTGCCAGCTTCAGGGCTGGCAACTGGTATATGGTGCAGGCCCCTGGGGGACAGTAGGGGTTAGCACCTGACAGTTGCACCTACAGCTTTACCGGGGGGGGGTGAAGCCAGAGCTAAAGTTTTTTTCTGGCTGATGTTGTTCTCCAGCAGTGAGCAGCAGCTGCATGAAATAGGAGTTCTTAGTGCAGGTCCTGTGGCTGTCGCCCTGGCTCTGAATGTTGTTTGGAAAGCACACAAAGGTGATGTGGAAGGTGTGGACCCACCTGGAAGTGGGACGTAGGTGCAGGTCAGAGGGGAAGTGACTGACTTGCACCAACAGCATCACACTGCTTCCATCATTTATTTATTGGGGGGGAGGAGTGGAGGGAGATCCTGCGTGCCTGGCCCCAGCATGGGGTATGTGTTTCTGTACTTGCTCAAGCAAGACCTGAAATAAAGATTACTGTCATTTGGGCTTAAGCAATGCTATTATTCATGATTACTTTCTTGAGAAACAAGAAGAGTTATTTTGCATCTGTACAGCTGTAAACGGAATCAGACACTTCTGAGCAGTGTTTTCCCAGAAAGTTCATCCAGTTTGTGGTCAGACTCCCTACATTGATGGAGCATTTTTCTGACTTCTTGTTTCTTTTCAGTCAGAATAGGAATTATGCCTGCAGCTTTATTGCAGCAAATACTTCTTGTGGATAATTGTTCCAAAAGTTTTATTCACAACTCTGAACTTTTTTAAGGTGTTATCATATATTTTTGGTATGGTAAATTCCACCCTAGTATGCTGGCAGTGGCACAAAATAGTTAAGGACCGTTGAGTAATTTTATGTGTATTAAAACATATAAGTGTATTCTTATTATTTAGAAAACCCTATTTGCGTTGCCGTTCATAAGGAAGGAAACCATAACGTTAAGCACAGAAACTGGTTTAACATGTTTTGGAAGATATTTGTACTGCAAATCTCTCTTTAAAATTCAGGTTGGCCAAGTAGTGGAGGTATCTTTGCATCAATTTTGCAGCGGTAGAAGAGGGTTTGTAAGCCCTGGAGAGAGACTTACAGTGAAGTGTCTGTATTTAGATGTGATAGTTAATAATTTGTGGAGGCACTGGTTTGTTTCTCGCATTCACTAAGGTGCTGGTTATTGAAAGATCTTGTTGTTAAGGTGCCGATGAATATGATGTTTATTTGGTTTTGCTGAAAATATCAGGTTGAATTTTATTTCCACTCAGGTGAGGTTGAATCCTCTCTGGAACACTCTTTCTTTGCATGAGGACAGTGATTGATGTAGTTCACATCAGCACAAATTGTGCGAGGTGGGAGGGCTGTGAGGCCGACAGATGAAGAGCTTTCCAAGACCGGTCAACCAAACCCCCACTGAAATGGTGGAACAGGAAGATGCACAGAGGCCGTGCTCTGCCTCATGAGTAAGCTGGCTCACTTCCCTAAATCCAGGCAAAGCCGGGTTTAAGCAATGCCCCACAGCTAGTTCTTGCAGCTACCCGGAATGGGTTACTCAATGTTTGCTGTAGTAGCACAGGGCTATTAAGGGAGGTGCAGGGTCACCAGTGGTGCTTTCTTCCCATTTGGCTCTTTGTGAAACCCTCCCAGGAGGCTGACACGGGGCTGGAGCAGGCAGGAGAACTCTTCCCTGGCCAGGATTGGAAAGCTGTTTGCTGCAGCACTTCTCTGCTGAGCCCCAGCTTCATTCTGCCTTTCACTGGCTTTTTTTTTTTTTTCTTCTACATAGCTGTGCCCTCATATCTGCTCACTTCTGTGGGATGGCTTTCTGTGCGTGGGTATTCTTCCCCTTCTCTCCCTTCCGTATTTCTCTGGTGAAATCAAATGGTAACTCTTTGAGAAGGGAGAGACCTATTCCTATGCCTTTGCATAGCCCAGAACTGGTGATAGATACCATGGCTGGCAGGCTCACCCCTCTCCTGCCACACACACAGAACATGGCTCAGTGGGACTTACAGTGATGTTCTATCCTCCAGTGCCTCTGCTTTTGCCTTCCGGAGCTATTGCTGGGCGATAAAACGCAGGTAGGTTTCAGATGACAGGTTTCTGGCCTGAGATGATGATCTGCCTGGAGTTTGTGGGAGTCTTGACTTTGGGCTGGCTCCCAGGAGCACCAGCGAGGTGTGCTGGCCTGAGCACCACCTCCCGGGGACCAGCCTCTGCTGGCAGCTCCCCCTCCCCAGAGAGGAGCTTCACTCCTGAAGGCTGGGACCCTCCAAGCGTGTCCTTTTTAGCTTGTGGAGGGCTCCTACCAGGACAGAGAATTACTGATGGTAGTAAGTGTATCTTCAGTGGGTTTCAGTTTGATTTGTAAGACTGCAGTGCAAATGGAGGCTTGCGCCAAGTTTTAGCCTGGTTATAATGCCACGTATTATTCCCTTACAATCCCTCCACCTCCACGTCTTTCTCACCTGGCTGCCTACCAGGTATTGGCAACGTGACTCACCATGAATGAAATGGGTTCCTGAGAAAAGCAGGCATATTCCCAGTTCTTGAGAAGCTTGTTCTGATACGCTGCTTTTCCTTTGCAGAAAACGCCGCAGCCTTGCCTTTTTTTTTTTTTTTTGCTTTTTCCTGATCAGTGTTAGTTCCTGTCATGTTTTGGGCTGGATTGGCCACTGAAACGAAGGACAGATGCTCTCCCCCACCTCTCTGTTTATAGAGAGGAAGGAGAGAGAGAGAGAGAGATAATTTTAGGGAAAAACTAAACTAATGAAATAATTACATAAAAGGTAAATAATGAAATACATACAATATACATAAAACCAGTATTGAGCTCCCAGGATGACGTCACTGGCAGGCCCTGGGAAAGTCCCAGACTGGACTTGGTGACAGACAGGAACTGGATTCCAGATCCAGATTCAGTAACGCATGGATCAGGATCAAAGGCAGAAAAACAAAGTCCTCCTCGGGTTCTGGCCATTGAAGAAAGAGAGCTGACCCTTTGATCCCTGAGCTTTATACTGAGCATGATGCAGATGGGATGGAATACCTCCTTGGCCAGTTTTGGGTCCCCTGTCCTGTCCCCTCCTCCCCGCAGGTGCAGCCCTTCTACACTTTTCTGCTTCCGACCCTCCAGCGGGGCAAATAACAGTGAGCTGCCCTTGGTTGTTATAGCAATAAGTGTAAGTAAGAGCCTCTCTGCATACCATCCCTTGGCACAAATTACCAATAATCAGGTTTTATCACTGAGAACGAACAGTGTCTCCATAACGTGCTGTTAATTTCAGAGAGTTCAGTTAGTTAGTAGAGGCTTAGCTAAAAAGTAAAATTACTGAACAGAAAATTGGTTCTGTTTGACCTCAAACCAAGACAGTTCCTTGGAAATACATGCCCATACGGAGTGGCTGTTGGCAAAGTCATCAGTCATAAGGTTTGTCATTGTCCTTGGAAAACTATCAATAACCACAGGATGGGGGTGGGACGAGTGCGGAGCAGGAGCTTGAGGACGTGGGGTCAAGTTCTTGGGGATGGAGGCAAGTTAGTTTAGGGTGAAGAAGGGGACAGGTTTCTAAACAACTTGTCTCTGCACCTTGCTTTAGGACCCTGCATTGTTAGGCAGGGTGTAAGGATGTCCAAGGGCTTATCCATTATGAGCTACTAATTTTATTTAAGAAAACAAATTCTTTTAGGTGTTGTATTCTAGCAGTGATGTGGCCAAAGGAACAAAGGGTGAGAGAACTAAATGAGGGGGTTGGTACTTCCAACCCTGCTCCCTAGTATTTACCTCTGACTGTGGAATTACGTGACAAAACTCCTCAGTGACGGAGACTGAGAGGACAGTTTCCTTTCTCCCAGCCACATCTGTTCTCCAGAGAGCTCCCTAGGGAGCATGATTTGTGCAGTTTGTATTCTAGCTCTGACAGAGGTGCTTCCAAAGGGTGTCATTTTTGCATACAGTTGCTTTTACAAAGAATAGGTGTTTTTGACTAAATCTCAGGGGAACTGCCCATGTGATGCACAGGCATGTATGTGCGCGCACACACACGCAGATCGTTTCCCTGCCTCTGCAGATTGCTGAGTACAAGGTCTACCCCAGGCTCCCACATGGTGATGTAGCATGATCACACATGACCCAGAATTTTAATTTTTTTCACGTCGCTGCTGTGACCGAGGCAACCGTGTCACGCCGTCAGCGCTGCATCAGCCCTGCAGCCCCGCTGACTGCGCTGCGGCGATGAGGTCGGAAGCCAAGTGACAGCTCAGCATGAACTTGCTGAGAATCGGAGCGATGAGAGCGATGAACCCGTCTGGTTTTCAGCTGCAGGACTGTCATCTCTCAGAACAGGTTGCTCCAAAGCAAAGAAAAAAAACCCAAAACCAGCTGAATGAAGAAGAGGGCACTTTCCAGGTACCTCATTAACACACCTAACCAAAGTCAAAGCTTGCTAAATTGCGGTACCTCGGTGTCTTTTCCCAGAGTAGTTAATAACAGCCACCGGCAGCACCACTGGTCTGCTGAGTCCTGACTATTCTCATTCCGTGACGAGCTGAGAAAGTGATGTCGAGAGGAACTTTACATCTCTGCTGTACTCTGGCCAAAGCTGCTTTGCTCCATTTGTCCCTTGTGCTGTCCTGCTTCCATCCTGTCCCTTCTGTGTCTTTCTACAACGTGGACATTCCCACACAGCCGCCTTCTACCCCTCCAGCAGGGCTGCAAGAAAAAAGAGAAGAAAAACTGGCTGCAGCCCTGCGTGAACAGAGCGGGGAACTGACTGCTGTGGCGCAATTAGCTGCACAGGGGGAGGAGCAGCCGTTTTCTTCTTTTTTTTTGCTCTTAGCCAGAATACTTCCTACAAAACTCCAGCCATCTGTGCAGGAGACTAAAATTTCTGTATTCTGAATGCAGAGAGGCAGTCGTTATGGCAAGAGTTGGTGCCAGCCTGTGACCTGCAGCTGGTCTTTGATAGAGGGACAACTGCGCTAAACTTGCCCTGTCCATGGAGCGTGGCAGGCATCCTAAAGAGCTCCTGGCCTGGCTCAGTGATGGATCAGCTGCTTCCGTGGTCCTGTCTGTGCTCCACTGCGTAAGAGCAGGATGTTCACACCACACAGCGTGGTGTTTGTCCTCTGCTTGAAGGTTACCGAGTTGGTGGCTAACATATCACTGGGACTTTCCTACTTGCTGCTCTTAGACATGGGGGAATTTGCCATAAGCTGAAGTGTTTGAGGTTGGCTGCTTCTCCCCAGCTCCGCCGCTGCTGGTTTCACTTGCAGTGAGCCACCCACACAGCAACAAGAATCGTAACAGGGTGAGAAAAGCACTGGACTGCCGCCTTCTGCGTGTAAAATTTCCACACACGGCTCACGGTTGTAACCAGTCCCTGGTTGTTGTCTTGATGTTCTAGAGTGTTGCTGTGAGGGCCAGGTCTGCACTGGCTGTGGTGGCCCTGAAGTTAGCGCTCTTGGCCTTGGTGAGTAGCCAGCAGAGGTCTCAGGGAGCTGGGGCAGGCTCATGCTGTGCTGCGGTCACAAACCAGTGCGTGTGTCTGACGGGCTCCGGGTTTGAAGGTTATGCAGGGCAGCTCATTGCTGGGTGATCTGCTCCCCAACTGCCTGCCTGAGGCGCTCCAGGAGCACACAGTATGCTCCTCCACAACATGAGGGAGGCAACGGAGCCATCAAGCACCTTGTTTCCTCCACAAGGGCAGGAATTGGGACCCGTAGCTTAACCTGTGCTACCTATTCCATGGCCTCATTCTGAGCTGTGCTGGGCCCTTGCAACAGACATTGTCACCTGGAAGCATCAGGAATTCTTTCCACTTCTGCTCAGGCCACCTTTGCGGTGCTTACGACTTGTCTTAAAAACCTCTAGCTGTGCTCCCCAGTGTGAAGGACCAACACATTCAACTGCTGTCCATATTGTCCTTACTTTGCATGCTATCTGCCATCGGTTTAGCTTCTTGCTGCTCCTAGCACATCACTTTCCAACTTCTGCAGGGTAAGGAGTGCAGAAACCAGGCTGTGCAGAGCTGGTCACAGAACAGGGGATCCAAGCAGCTTCCTTGTTTGAGCTGCAGCCTCACACCACAACCAAAGCCACCAGGGAGCACGGAATCCCCCAGCCCCTACATTTTGTGGGAACCACCTTCAGTCTCCTTCTCCTCTTGCGGAGCACTGTAAATGTTTACCAGTGCTGATTTGGGTGCAGATACGCTGATGTGACACAAATTCATCCCATTAGCCCCTGTGCCAATAACCCCACGTTTGGGCCTTTTTAGCCTCAAAAAAAAGAAGCTCCTGCCTTCTGCCACCTTACAATGAACTCCTACCAGCATCATAGCAAAGCCACAGCTTCACAAAACTTGGGCTGCCCCCGGAAAGTCTCACAAAGCCTTTTGGCTTCTCTACACAGAACTGTATTTTGAATTTTTGGAAGCGTTGGTTACTTTGGAGCAATCTGTTTCTGTGAAAGTCCTGTTTATCTCCAATGTTGTTAACATGCCCCAGTGTATCATAAGGTGCTTCTCATCCCTCTGTCTGTTTGTCCATCCTGCACCCCCATCCCACCTTTTCTCCTACAGACACGGTACCTCCCTGCCAGTGACATGAGAAGCCACAATCGTGTTTGGGATGGAGCCAGCAATGCTGCTGGAGCCTGTGGTCTGCCATGGGACCCATCATCTCCTGCAGCTCACTGCTTGCCACATGGAGGCAGCATGCGATGTGAGCCATGAGCTTGTGCTTTGAAAGTGCTTCCACAGTCAGAGGCTGGAAAGAGCTGGTGTGTTTTTCATGCTATTAAAGGTGCCAGAAGCTGCCCAAGGCAGACTCAACCACTGAACCCAGCCCCAGGTGAGGAAGGCCGGCTGGAAAAGCTTGTGGCCAGGGAGTGTGGGTGGGGCATGCTGATTTTTGGCAGCTGTGGTAAAACAGGAGGCTCAGGTGAGACTCTTGCCATAAATAGTTGTGTGCTAGCAGCAGAGTTCTGGTTTTGGTGCATCCCTGCGAGTGGAGATCTGGGGGCAAGCTGGTGGATGTTGGCTCTAGATGGATCAATTTCTGCCAACCTGCATGAAAGGCAGCAGGGAGTTCTGCTGACTCAGGTGAGCACTGTGGGAATGTGTGATGGAATTGCTGACTTTCTGTGGAGTCAGTGCTCTTTGGAAGCACAAACACGGAAGGTATGAGCTGGGCCCATTCTGAGAATGGCTGTGATGGGGGAGAATGAGACACATAAGCTGAACGGATGAGAAAAGGCTGATATTTAGTTGGTGAAGCTGCAGGAACCCAGCTGTGGGGCAGGGCTCAGACAAATACATGGAGGGAGGGTACTGCCTGTGGGCTGTGTGAGGGGGTCTGAGCTCTCAGGGGAGGGTGCTGTGGAGGCTGTCTTGGGGAGAGCATGCTTCCCTGTGGGTTGAATGTATACAGTGTAGTGAGGTATCTGGGAAGATGCTCTGGGCACGTTTTGCACGGTGCAGATGAGGGTGGTAGGTTTGAGCCTGAGCAGAGCTGCAGGTTTCTGTTCCAGATGGTCAGGGTGAGTTCACAGGCACAGTCATTCCTGTTTCTGTTTACCAGCATGTGTCTGGTGATTTCCGAAGAGAAGATACGTGCCTCTGTGTGATCCCCTTGGTGTGAGCAAGACGTACATAGTCACAGCTCTGTGAAGGTAAGCCCTTTTTCCTCTGGCAGGAGCCAAAGCAATGCCCTCCTATTACAGCCTTCATGCAGAACGGGTTCAGGCTTGATGCATGTTGAGGAAAACAAGAGGCTGAACCCAACGTTGGTGGCTAGGAAGAGATATCTGGCAGAGGCGGGAGGGCTGGGTGCTGGGTCTCTGTAGGTGGCACTCCGCATTCCCCAGGCGGAAAGCAACGCGCTCCCCTCCTCTGTGCAGCATCCTGTGGCAGCTCACAGGCTGCCAGCTCCGGGGCTTTGTTGTTTTTCAACCTGCTGCTTTGCTGACTAACACCTCCGCTTTCTGCCTGGCTCATTCATATTTTAACCCCATTTCCTGAGCTTTGAGGTGGTTTCTTCTATTGCTTTCCCTTCCAGGAGAATACTGTTACTCATGTCTCAGCTGTTCTGCCATTTTTTACTCATTACTTATCGTAATGTATGATTATCTTCCTCCTAAATGTCACCAGCCAGTAAAGATGCATTTGACCATAGAGTTATACCAGGTCTGTGTCTTTGACAATGCTGAGGATATTGCTTTAATTCCATTGTGACAGGAAGAAAATACAGAGGTAGTACTGTTTGTGTGGGGTTTTTTCCACGCATCATGAACTTGATAACTGCAAGTGTCACTAATTGTCTCTTCCAGAGGAAGGAATTGTCAGCTCTGATTGTTATTTCCTCTGAGTCTGTTTGTTCTTGCTAATAAATGCATACAGATCTTTCCTGTCTGCCAGTCGTGGCAAAATGCTTTTGTGTCATCAATAACTTTAGCAGAATTTCTCAAGCCTTTCCTGATGTGCCCTTCACACTCGCTGTTTGGTGAATGTTGCCACTGCAGGATGGGCTGAGTTTACAGCTGGATGAAAGTAGTTACTACTTCTCTTGAATCATCCTAAGTCCCTGGCAATTGAACTGCTTCTGATCTCCAAATGCTTTACCTTGGGGGCTGAGTTCAGCAGCCATGAAGCGCCATGGAACTTCAGGTGTAGAGGAACTCAGAGAATCTCTAGAGCTCTGTGCTCTTGGAGATGGTCACTGCATGCTGAGAGCACTGACCTGCTTTGCTCCATGCAGGAGGTGTCTCTGTGAGCTGTGCTCCAGGTGGCAACAAGTATCAGGGCTCCTAGAGATCCTGCATCATGGCTCCTCCCAGGCTGGATACGGTGGATGCAGCACCTCTCAGTCACGGAGAGAGATGTGGTGGGTCGTGCTGTGGTGGGCTTCCCAGGACTGAAGAGCTAGGTGTATGTTAAGTATTTGCTCTGCAGGGGTAAAACTATTTGTTCCTCTTCACATTGCAGCACTTGCACAGTTTCACATGTGCACATGCATGTATAGGCACAGTGTGAGGTGACAGAAGAAAATCCATCATTAAGTTGCAAGACATCTATGTGTGATGAGTGATTCCAGCCTTCTGACAGGCTTTTAGTGCCCCTCTGGGCTGTATGTTTCACCAGCAGTGAGCATCACAGAAAGGAAACTGTACACATCTGAATTCTAGCAGTCAGTGAAGGATAAACATTCTCAAATTAAAATTGACTGTCTTGGAAAAAACTTCCAGCTGCCACTGCTGCCCTCTCCTAGGGCTCATTACCTACCTTCAGTCCTACTGCTCTTCCCTGGTTTATTGTATAGAGACACCTCTGTGCTTCTTACTTACCCTGGGAAAAACAGATGGTTTGGACCACTCAGGCCAGGGCAGCTGTATCGTACTTTGACTAACCAGGTATAAGGGAAATTGTGGGTATGTGAGGACCTGTGAGGTCTGGGTAGGAGTTGGCCCCAAGTGGCCATGCCTCTGCTGGCCCAGGCTGTGCTGTGCCAAATCTCTGCATCTCCTCTTGCTGTGCAGTGGATGCAGTGGGCTCAACAGATCTTGGGGCTGAACGCAGAGCCCACTCACCCTTTTCCTCTTGCCCAAGGGTGCAAGGAGCATGCATTGCAGCCCCTTTGAAGGTATGTGGAGGTGAGTTGACCTATCCTCCCTCAGTGCCAGCCTTGCAATCGGCAGAGCCCCAGCCCAGACACAGGTTGCAGGCAGGAGATCAGGGTAGGGGTGAGCCCCCCCTCCTATGCAGGAGCCAGACCACCTCCCTGCTGTGGTCTGAGGGTTGGTGCTGTTGCCCTGGTCCCAGGGGCTGTTTTGGAGACAGCTGGAAGTAGAGTGCAGTGATATTTGACTGTCTCCGATGTGGTACACGCTGTACTATATAGTTGGGCTTAACCATTTAGTGTGTTGACACTGACGTCTCCCCGCTGCAGGCTCTAACTCCACCAGCCCCATTGTGACCTTTAATGTCTGAAGCTTGTGAATTTTTATCTGCTCTCCCACCTTTTTCTCACATAAGGGTAAGAGAGCAGAGCAATACAGTAATAAATGTGTGGGTGTTTGGACCCGAATTCATTGCCTCCTCTGCTCACCACATCCTTCTATCGGCACAGTAATTCTGATACAGTGGTGACGTCAACCACCATTTATCACTGTATATTCCAATACACTACAGCCCTTGGTCGTGCACAAGTAGGCTTTGCTCTTGCTCAGTGCTGATGAGATCCACCTGCTTTCCAGCTCCTGCGCACGCAGTGTCTGTACTCGCAGTAATGATCTAGCCCGGCCAGCCATGGACAGCCATTCAGCTGAAAGGACAGGGCAAGGTAATGTCCACCTTTACACCAATTTTCCCTGCTGCCAGTTTGTTACTGCTTCATATCTGTGACTTCACTGTAAATCTTTCTTATGGCTGACGTGGCCCTTGTGCCCCTGCTGTCATTACCTTTGGCCTCTACTGGACACCTAGAGAATCCTTCTGTCCCCCCGTTGCTTGAGCTTTGTGATTAGATGTCAGTACGTTGATAATGAACTTTCTTTCAAGAAGAAAGCTTGGGTTTGCATATAACTGGTGGACTGAGAGATTTCCACTGGTTTTTACTTGGGTGTAGCTGTGACATTTATTTTCTCATGCTTGGAAATACCAGATTTCATTATTATTATTATTAAACTGAGTTCTTAATTAGGCTTTTTTTCTGTGGAAGTTTTGTAAGTGCATTTCCTGGAGACACTTCACATTGTGAGCTTAGACCGCATCTATCTTTGGCAGCTCATAGCACCCTATTTCCAGATCCTTAACAAAAATAATCTTCTTAAATGTCTGTGTCTATATTGGTTCTATTTCCTATTCTCTGATATATTAAAACATTTACATGTGCACATCTATATGAATGGCTAATCAACTTTATTACTGTGCTCTCACACACTGTTCTTTAGGGTACTATAGAGTTTGCAGAAGTGGTGCTTTCATCTGTACAATGCTTGACATTTCATAAGAATTAAATAACTGTGTTTCAAGGATGCACGAAGGTGTCTCAGACATAGAAACTGAAATGAAATGGTACAAAGGACTTCTGTAATGTCAGACAGGGATTAAGTTCCTGCCTCTGCTCATTGCCCACTGACATTCTTCCCCACAAGTGAACAATCTCACGAGCAGGGTGCTGACAGATGGAAGAAAATGGGAAAGATGTGACAAATTGAGGGATGTAGGAAAGGTGGGGATCTCAATCATAGACTGGAATTCAGGTTTGCAGGGGACCTGACTGGAGGAAGCTTCAGAACAGGGGCTACTACACATCTCTGTGAAGCCAGGAGGTCTTCCAGCCATCAAAGACCACAGAGACACTGCTGCAGAGCTGCACCTTTCCCAGCTCTTCTGCACACACACCCATGACTTGGCATAACAACCTGGAGCACAGCCAGGAGGTCAAACACACATAGCACTGACACTTTCTCTGGTGCTCTCAGAGGCAGCAGTCCTTCCCCACCACACTGAGGCAGGAGAACTGTGTAAGAAGTGTTGGACTAATCTGTGGGTATTGGCAAGGGTAAGAGATGGGACAGTGGACTCTCAAGTGGGGAATTACTGTCTCCTTGCTTCACCTGTGTTAGGAGATCCTACTGCTTTTCTGTCTTATTTTTGCCACTGTGCTCTTATTTAGGAAGAATCTCTTTAGATTACAACCTTGTATGTTAGCTTCTCTCCAGCCTCTGTAATGGCAGCCTCCAATATCTCCATGAGCATCTTCCTGATGAGCTACCAGGGCTTGCTTTGACTTTTTCCTGTTCAGTCCTTTCTGTCCTACTGGATTGATTGTACTATTCTCTGAGCAGAGGAAGGAAAACAGGGAAGACACTTTTAAGAAACCACAGTCCAGTGGCTAAAAGCAGCAAAGACTTCTCTTGCATTGCTCTGCCCATTTAGGTAGGAAAGGGGGTAAAACGAGCGAGCTACAGAAATATCATGAACATGAAACAGTGAGGGCACTGCCATCTGGATTCTGAGGCAAGCAGTGGGTCTGCAGAGCTCTCTGAGGGCCCAACCCTTCCTTCCTCTGCTGAAGAAGAGGCACCGAGTTGCCTATCTTGGCCAAACAGGGTGGCCAAGATTGTGAAGTGTGACAGGCACAAAGCAAAGCGACGCTGAGATGGGGTTCTGCATCAGGGCACAGGACGAGATGGCACTAGTCCCTCCTGCCACCCAGAGCCTGTGCTTGGTTACAATCAGTGGGAGGACATGATGGCCTGAGGAAGAACAGCAGCAGCCCTGGAGACCATGCATGCTTTTCGGGTGGGAACAGGACCTCTTGGGCAGGTTTTTGGCATGCTGAGCTGGGGGGGAAACTCTGAATATTCAAAGTCCATCAAAATAGGTTCAACAATTTTGCTGGGAGAAGGATGATTTAAAAAGGCAGTGGATAATCACACGTATCATGTCCCTAGGGTTACTGTAGGGCTAGAGAACTCTAGGCCCCAGTGGTTGGTTTGTTTGGCACAGCTCTTCTGTTAAATGTGCTGCAGGGAACAGGAACCTCAACCCTAGGATGTCACGTGCAGGTGCTGCATCAGGAGACTGCCCACCTTGAGGGTCTCTTTTTGTGGTGCAGCCAGTCTCAGTGTGAAATTGGGTGAGCAGGTTTCAGATGGTGGGATAAGAGAGTGTCTTTCTCAAAGGAATGAGAATTTGGAGAAGAGCAGTGCAAGGATGAGCGGGAGCACAAGGTGGGGTTAGACAGTGGGCTGTGCCTTTGTAATCAGGGACTGCACCACCAGAAATAGTGTTAATGACAACAGTTATTATGCAGAGAAAACTTGGAGAACTGGGACCAGAAGGGTCAAGAAAGGGTATTTCCTCAAGGAAATGTATGATGTGGAAAGAAGGGCTGGAGTGTGGGGAAAGAGATTTTTCTCTCCTGCCACTCACAGCATGCAAGGAAGACCAGCAGGGTGCCTGGGGCTCCTCGCTGAGCTGGAGCATGTGCTTGATCTGCAGGACATGTTGGGCAGGAAAGGAGGGGCAGCAGCAGAATGGCTGCTCCCACCACAGGGCTGAGGTGCTACAGCCATGAGGTATTTGTGGCACCTCCTGAGCGAGCCCTGCTGATCTCATCTGGACACTCTGGTGCCTTGAGAGCAAGTCTCTGAGGTCTCACGTGGGGCTGCAGGGGCTTTTTGGTGGGTGCTAAATTTATTTTGCTTTCGTTATTTGAGTAAACCTGGGAAATTTTTAAACACCACAAATGTTCCCCTAGTGGGAGAGGCTGGTGTTCTCTCTGCTGAGTGACTGTCTGGGTGTTTGCTGCTGGTGGGGGAGGTACAGGCACACCAGGACCTGGGTCCTGCACCTGGGTTGGGGCAGCTCCCAGTAGCAATACAGGCTAGGGGATGAAGGGACAGAGAGCAGCCCTGCCAAGAAGGACTTTGGGGGTACTGATGGATGAAAAGCTGGGCATGAGCCTCCAATGTGCAAACACAGCCCAGAAAGCCAACTATATCAGGAGCTGCATCAAAACCAGCATGGCCAGCAGGTCAAGGGAGGTGATTCTGCCCCTCTGCTCCGCTCTGAGACCCCACCTGCAGCACTGGAGCCCTCAGCACAGGAAAGACATGGACCTGTTGGAGCAAGTCCACAGGAGGGCCATGAGGATGCTCAGAAGGCTGGAGCACCTCTGTTATAGGGACAGGTTGAGACAAGTGGGGTTGTTCAGCCTGGAGAAGAGAAGGTTCCGGGGAGACCTTATTATGGTCTTTCAATACTTAAAGGGAGTTTTTAAGAAAGAGAGGGACAGAGTTTTTAGTAGGGCCTGTTGCGATAGGACAAGGGGTAATGTTTTTAAACTAAAAGATGTAGAACCAGACTAGATATAAGGAAGAAATTTTTTACAAGGATGGTGGTGAAACACTGGCACAGGTTGCCCAGAGAGGTGGCAGGTGCCCCATCCCTGGAAGTGTTCAAGGTCAGGTTGGACAGGGCTCTGAGCAACGTGATCTAGTTGAGGATGGCCCTCATCATTGCAGGGGGGCTAAATGACCTTTAAAGGTCCCGTCCAACCCAAACAATTCTATGACCTGCACCAGGCCCTGACAGGAGCTCTGGGTATCTCTTGGTGGCTGCAGCTTCCTGCCCAGTCTTCACCCATACCACTTTTACAGATGCCTCTGTGCAGTCTCATGTAGAGGGTTTTGCAGAGCTCTGGGACTCTGCAGAGTCACTTCTGTGCACCTGACAATGTCACTGACAGTGTTGCTGCTCTGATGCATGGCATGTTGGCCCTCCCAGCTGTCTGTGCATCCTGCAACTTGCTGCCAACAGAATTATGTCCCAAAAATAATACAGATTGCTTCTCCAAAGTCTTGTCCCCCATGCAGCCTAGCCCATTTCCGATCAACTTGAGAAAACAGTGCTGAAATCTGTACTGGGTATCAACAGGCAATACTCTGCAGGGAGCTCATTTTAGGTCTTTCCGTGAACATCTGTGTGTTTCTGTAAGTGTTAAATACTGTGAAAACACAGCCTTAATGTGTTATGTGGCTTGAGGGCCTGGTCCTGGAGCAGGAGCTGTGGGCTGAACAGTCATTTGTATGTGATGCTGTTTCCTCATATTGTTGTAAACATCCTGCTTTCCTCTTCTCTGAAGTCTTTCCTGTAGGTTCTCTTCACCAAACTGCATCAGGACAGCCTTCCCCTGAAGTGAGGGCTGTACATCGTTCTCCTCTGTGCCACATGGGATGCTGTGGTTTTTTGTTTGTGTGTTCTTTGTCTCATCTGCCTTCCTGGAGTCCCTTAACTAGATATTCCATCCTTATTTAACCATGGGCAGGCCAAATCAATGAGTTCTCACAAGCCTTGCTCATACAAACCCACAGTGACATTCAATTTGACTAATTTACTGTACAGTTGTTTAAGCCACAGCAATGTTACTTCTCCTAGTTGCAAGCCATTTCTAGTTGCAGGAAACCAATGAAGAAAAAAAATGGGTTAGCATTTAACCCAAGTGCCTTCCTGTTGCATGGATAGACTGAGGCTGCAGTCCCTTTGCTGCTTTCTCTGTGCAAACGCTGCTGACAAGGAGCAGAGACCTCGCTGGCCTGGTTTATGGCCAGTTGGCAGGACTGTTGGTTATCCCCCCTTTTAGCCAGTGAGGTACAACATATATGAAAACTGAGATGACTTGCCTAATTCAGGCACTTTACTTCTAGACATCTAAATGAAAGAAAGATTAATTCCACCTCAGCCTTCAGCATATGGCTGAGCTGAGCTTTTAATTAGTTGGTTGGGCTTTTTTTTTAAACTTAGTTTGTTGGGTTTCTTTTTCCAGGACATCCAGTCAGAACCAACATGAGGAACAAACTGTGGCTCCAGAGTATTTCCTTCTTCCTTTTATTCCAGTACAGTAAGTTCTGAGAGATCTCTTCTGGGCTGTACACTCACAGGATTTATCTTGGTGGCTGTTGGTGTGGGATCTGCCAAGATGTGCATGGCACAGGGCTGCTGTGGGACAACAAGCAGAATATAAGGTACCAGGGGAGAGGGTTCCATGGGATGATTTATGGAAGAGGCTCCATGGACAGTAGAGGACAGATGCAAGAAGGTGTACAACTGAGCAGAGCTCAGCCAGACTGTGTATCACTCCAGGGAGCAGCACCAGTGGGGAGAGTTTGCCATAGAAAAGTTCTGGTGGCCAAGACCAGGATATGCCCAGGTGGTGGCAACAGACCAGCCAGGGACAGTGGAGTGAACATCTCTTGGCCTGAGCCCCTTTGCTCAGGACTGCACTGTGCAGAGTCACTCCCCATCTCTTGCTGGTTCCTCCCCACGGTGCAAGCTTTAGCTGACTCAGAGCTGACTTTCCGAACAGGTCAGCTGGGCAGAAAAAGGCAGTGACAACAGCGTCTGCAGGGAACAGGTGTGAGTTTAGCATCTTACACTCTGCTTCTAGGCAGAGCACTGGACCTGCTCCAAACCTAAATTAGCAGGAAAGATGAATGCAGAGTTGTATCTTCCTGCCATACACAACCATTGTGATGCCTGGTCTGACTTTTGTGTAACACAAGCCAGGGAATTACTGTGTACTGATTTCTGTTTGGACTCAACTAGGTCTTACTGTTAAAAGTATTTGATTTCTGTTTCTGAAGCTGCCGAGGATGGACAATTCATCCTAGATCTAACTGGATTTAGGACACATAATTATTCCCTTCCCAGTAAAAAACTGTCATCTTCTTAATTTTGTTACAGATTCTTGCCCAAAGATATACTTGCAGCTTACCAGCTACCTAGGAATAGTAGTCCATTTCACTGATTAACATAATAGCATAGAAGAATGCTAATTAGCAATGCCTATTAGCTTATTAATACTTGCTGCCCCCTCTAAAGGAAAGCAAGGCTTTTATAACCCCTTTTTTGTAGGAGAATAAGTATGTTGTTCAGTGTTCTGGAACAAATGGTGCTTGACAAGGGTCCTCAGAAGAGCCTATTGAGGGCTCAAAATGAAAAGTTACAACTTAATGAAAATTTTAGAACAAAATCCTGAAATCAGAGTGAAATTAAAAAGTCAAAGTGAAACAAAGTGAAGACCACATAATTTGAATCACCGTTTAATAAGCACATGTACGCCCCTGTGGCCAGTCTGTTGCAAGCATCCCCAGGTTTCTTCTGTCACCACCCTGACTCTTTTGCAGGGGGGTGGTTTTGTACACAAATCTGAGTGTTGCCCAGAGCTCACATAGGGAGAGCAGTGTGTGCTCTGATGCAACAGGACTAGAAAGGAGCTTTTGTGATGAGTGAAGTCAGTTGGGGAAAAAGGTTGGACTTTGTTTTCCTTTGAAGTTACTAGAATTAGGCTGCACCCTCCACTGGACGTGCCTGCTGTGCACTGTGGCTGTAAATGCAGAGACTACTTGTTTGTGAGGACTCTTGACCTGGAGGGTGGAACAGATGTTTCTGGTCCATCAATGCACACATTGTCTGCATTCCATGTTGATTATTCTCTGCAGAGAGCATTCTCTTTACCTGTAAAATCAGGCATTGTGGTTGTTGAGCATATCACGTAGGCCTGCTTTCATCTTGTGCAAATAACTCTTCTGAATGCAAAGCATGTTCAACACAGGGAAGGTAGGAAGCAGGGAGTGCAACTTCTCTAACCAGGCAAGCAGCAGAGTGACAAAGGGAGGTGAACTCCTGACATGGTTAGCATCAGAGGGCTTGGGTGCCTGATGGCTGTGAAGTAACATGCTCCCATCAGGTTGGGGGCAGCCCTGATGGTAGGAGAGGCCTCAAGCTTGACTTAAGCATGGGTGTAACAACCTTGAGATCTTCCCCTAGACAATGACAATTTTATTCTTATCAAAACCAGGTAGTAGTGTACAGGTGAGAGACACTGCACCTCCTGCAGGCCTTTCCTTGCTGGTTTTTCCAGTGTAGTAGCACTGGCTGATGCCAGCCTAAGATGCTGTCAGGAGAGGGCTCACCAGTGCAGACATTTCTCACTGTACTGCTGTCTTCCCTGCATTTCAAGGCAGGGAGATAACTTACATGCATTACGCCTAGAACAACAGTGCTTTTGTACAGCACACATCAGATATTGATATGTGAGCAGAGCTCCTGCAGAACAATTAGAAGGACATAAAAGCTGCTTTGTCACCACTTTCAAATTAGCTAATTTGTTCAATGGCCAGTGCAAATTCTAAATTGACTCTCAAGTTCACTTTCAAAGCCTGTTTCAGTTTAAGAAATTAATAAAGTTTGCCTATCACTTTAGTATCAGAATGATTTATGGAAATTATAATAACTACAAATTTTCTATTCTATTTTTTGCCAAAATTCTGTGAAAAGCTTATTTCGAGACTCTGGAATTGATGCTGCAGATATCAAACTGTAGAAAATAGTAAGGAAAGAGTATGATAAAGAATTACTAAAGTATCACTATTTTTAAATGTACAAAGTGCCATGTAGGTGTCATAAAATGAAAACTAGACTAGCAAAGAACAGTAACGGTGCCACTTCCTAAATTGAGTAAAATGTTTGAATATCCCACTGTTTCGGATTGGGTAATCATGCCTCTTATGTGCTGTGTAAGCTAGGACTCTTGCAGAAATAATATATGACTGTAGAAGAGGGGACAGATAAGTTTGAAAACTCAGTCAGAATCTGGGCATTTCCTGGTATTTTGGTATGTCATTCACTGCAACAGCATGTTTAATATGTTTTTTTGTTGGTATTTCTTTTTTGATGCTTATCTTGCTGTCAATGACTTGCCTTTCTGTAGAGATGGAACACATCTTACGCCCCAAGACTGGAGACTTTCAGGGGGGCTGGCAGAGAGAGGCTGTTCCCTTCAGTGGGAGCCCTGAGGGTGTGTGTAGGTTGATACAAACTTCTGCTTGCTTCATCATGGAAGCTGATGCTGTGTTTTCTCTTTCCAAACCTACAGCTACGTGTCATGAAAACCTCACTTGTTTTGTGGACTACGTGCAGACCCTGTCCTGTATCCTGAGAAACGACTTGGGTGCCAGTTCATATAACCTCACTGCAACATGGTACGTCTCAGTAGGATGAGCAAAGTGCGGTCAGCAGGAACTTCTAACATGGCTGTAGCACAGTGGTGTCCTTCTGTCCTCTTCGTTAGGTATAATTCTTGTTCTTGCCACCATGCCAATTTTTACACCCTCCAGCTGTCAACTGGCTTCTCCCCTGGCAAAGGATTCCTGGTTCCTGCACCCACTGACTGCACTGCTTCCACTGGCTGCTGCGCTGACCCTGGCTTCCTTGGCATTCTTTCCTCTCCTGCCCTGGGAACACCTTGCCCTTTGCTGCTGTTAACAGTGGACTTGTGTGTGCTGGCAGGGCTCATGTGGCATTGTCTGAGCCCCATGTGGCTGCTGTTCTGCCCCAGCAAGGAAGTGGCTGCAGTTCTGGGCTCTGCAGCTCTGCTGAGCACCTTTCCTTTCCACAAACACTTCAGTGTCACTTTCCTACTTCTCTTAAAGTTGCTAAGCTGAGCAAACAGAATGGGGAAAAAAAAAAAAACTGTCAAAGTTCAAAGATAAATTTTTATTTTAACGTGTTGCCTCTTTTTTTTTTTTCTTATTAATTTCTATGCCTGATGGTTCAGCAACAGATTAGTCCAACTACAGCATGTGGTAGATCTGGATTTGATTGTTTGTTTTGGTGGTTTTAGGGTTCCTGAGCAAGAACCAGAAAATATTGTGGCAGCCTGCCATCTCCTGCAATTCTCCAGGAACACCAGTCACACCGAATATACATGCACTGTGGACATGACAGCACTTCTGGCAGATCACAAAGTCCAGGTGGATGTTACAGAGACAGCTAATAGGCAGCATGTGATTTCCAAAGACTTTTGTATGGCAGAGAACAGTAAGTACAAAAATGGTGAATTCGATAAATGCCATCTGACCTGATGTCTGTCTGCCAGGATAGTCTGGGCAAGGAGTGAGTGTGGCAGCCAGTGTGGGGGGGTTATATTTGGTGTGCACTCATCTACATGGAAAACTGTGCTCTTATTATTGCTATTGTAAACTATAAAAACAGTTATGCTTGAGGCTGAGCTTAGAGCTAGCTTGGCCCAGCCTTTCCATGGGGAAATTCCTTTTCCCCGTGAAGCAGTAGAAGACAAATTTCCACCTTAGACCAATCTCATACCTATTCTATGCAAGTGTTTGTTCTTGGCTAGAATCTAAAGGGCAGGAGGAGTTGCTTTAATTGCAAATGCCACAAATGTCCTCCCAGGAGTGCCAGGAGGCTCTTGCAGTATACACCTGAACCAACATGACGTTATTGTGGGTGGCACAAAGTGTCCCAGACACAATGGTAGCGGCACTTCCCCTTTCTGTGGCAATTCCTAACCATTTCTTCTGCATGACAGGAAGAAAAGTGCAATCATATAGTTGCCTTGGTGGAATGCTGGTGTGTTCTGAGTTGTGCAGCACACTGTGAAGAAAAGGGGTTGTTAACCAGGCAGACAGGTACCATGCAGGCACATGAAAAGTATTTTTCTATTTGGATTCTTCTGAAACTAAACTTTACATGGGAAGTATCATCTTTTTGACAAATGCCATAACATTTCATGGAAGCCCCTTGCCTCCACTGACAGACCATAGATTGAGTAGTGGTACTTTGCATGTCTCCTAAATGTCTCCGTAGAGAGGCATCATAACTCAGTGACAGACCCCGCAGACTAGTGCTGGAGTTTGTGCATTACTGCTTTCTGATGTATGAATACACCCTGCAGGGAATATAAAACCTCATGTTTTAGGTATTTATGACACCAGTGTTGGCACTGGGTTTATGCAGTGCCCACTAGCCTCATTTTTTTCTGATGTCTCTGTTACACTGAGGGGTATTTCCCTAACTGTGAAAGTGACCATGACTATACAGAGCCCTCCTATGTCATGAGAAGATGCTCTGGTCCTTGCATCTCCCATGAGATATTAGCCCCTTATGCTATCTTCTCCTGCTCCTTAGGTGATAAGGAAGTTTAGAGACAGGCAGAGGGCATGTTCAGAGACATGTGGGCCTGACTTCACTATGCTGCTGTGGTGTGAGGTTCTGTGTATGGCTCAGGATTGCTCAACCTGGGAGACAGGAATGTTGTGGATGTTGTCCTGTGTAGGAGGGCCTACCTCTGCCAAGGCAATTTTCCTCCCTACTTGCTCTGCATTGCTGATGCCATGCTGAGCTATCTCTTGTCTCCAGTAATGTTATGAAGGGTAACACCATCCTGTTTTCCAGTAAAACCACAGCCTCCGTTCAATCTGACTGCTGTGCTCTCAGAGGGTTACAACATTTCTTGGGAAACCATCCACCAGAACTCTGCTTTCTACTTCTTGGATGGGGAGCTGGAATATCAGCTGCGTTACAAGAGAAGAACCGACACCTGGGAGGTGAGTGAGATGTCAGTTTACCATCAAGTGGGATGGACCAGCAAAGAGGAGGTCAGCACAACCAGGACAGGAGTGCTGGCGTGAAAGAAGGGTTTCATGATTTAGAAAAGGTGTCTCTCTGTTTGCCTGGACTGAAAACAGGCAAAACTGAAAAAATAATCAAGAAGTAGAAGCTATTAGAGAAGTACTAGATCCTGTGGGGAAGGCTCGTGGTTCATTTGTTTCTCATGTTGCCCTGCATGGAAGGATCCCCCAGGGCCTCATGCAGCTACTGACCAGCCAGAGCATGGCCTTGCAGAAACAGAGGAGATAACTTTGCAGAATTCCTCACTGTGCAGCAGTGAGGGTGATGTGGGAGCAGTCACTCCAGCCCTGAGTGTTTGGTGTTTAATCCCTCACAGACTCAGAAGACTAAAGCTATCCATGAAGATAGACGGACACTGGTAATCCTGCCATGGGAACTCCAGGCGAACACTGATTATGAGTTTCAAGTGAGAGCCAGACCCCGAGAAGACACTGGCTACCACGGAGTCTGGAGTGAATGGAGTCCTCCGCTGATATTGAAAACCAGCCCTGCCGGTACACACTACCAGCTCTCCTTGTTGGTCCAATGTCAGAGAATGCTTCCACATTGAAAACCAGCCCTGCCGGTACACACTTGTTGGTCCAATGTCAGAGAATGCTTCCAGAACTCTAACCAAATCTAATTAGAACAAATTCTAAATAGTCTAGTAAAGACAGGCACGTTTGACTTGCTTACTGAGCTCATGAACCCCAGGCCTGGGCTGATATGTGCTGTCTGTATTGACCTTCTCACTGTGCTGCAAAGCCCACCTTAAAGCGTGGTCCAGGGGAAGAGGGTTTGGTGGGGTTGGCTCTAGGTTTGGGTGCCATGGCAGGAGTGCAGCCTCTAGTTTCCTTTCCAGTGTCAAACATCCAGGGTCCCGCTTACAGCTTTCAGAAATGGGGGGAGATGTAGTTGAGGTGACTCCACTTCTGGAACTTTGTATTGCCTTCAGCTGAGAGGAGAGGGGATCTTGCTCTCAGGGGTAAGTTCTGTGTCTGGACTCTGATGTTTGGCCATGCTGGGCATGAGTGTTTCATTTGGTAGCCACCACTCCAGAGAGAGTGCACAATACCTCATGCATAGAAGTCCACTGGTGCATGTCATGGTGAGCAGAGGCTATGAACAGAACTCTAATCAAATCTAATTAGAACAAATTCTAAATAGTCTAGTAAAGACAGGCACGTTTGACTTGCTTACTGAGCTCATGAACCCCAGGCCTGGGCTGATATGTGCTGTCTGTATTGACCTTCTCACTGTGCTGCAAAGCCCACCTTAAAGCGTGGTCCAGGGGAAGAGGGTTTGGTGGGGTTGGCTCTAGGTTTGGGTGCCATGGCAGGAGTGCAGCCTCTAGTTTCCTTTCCAGTGTCAAACATCTAGGGTCCCGCTTACAGCTTTCAGAAATGGGGGGAGATGTAGTTGAGGTGACTCCACTTCTGGAACTTTGTATTGCCTTCAGCTGAGAGGAGAGGGGATCTTGCTCTCAGGGGTAAGTTCTGTGTCTGGACTCTGATGTTTGGCCATGCTGGGCATGAGTGTTTCATTTGGTAGCCACCACTCCAGAGAGAGTGCACAATACCTCATGCATAGAAGTCCACTGGTGCATGTCATGGTGAGCAGAGGCTATGAAAATAGGAAGTCTTTATTCAAATAGAGCAGGGCAGGATGGCTGTGGTCAATGTCAGCACCATGTGCTGAGCTTCCCTGCTCTTGCTGACCTGCAGCTCAAACTGAAGTATTACAAGGTGCTGTGGCAGCAAGGTCAGGCTCCATTTGCTGAGGGTTATCTGAGTTCTGGGTCTCAAAGGTGCTCCTTCCCATCACAAGCAGAGAGCAGCCAACAAGCACTCATCTAGTCAACACCTTTTCCTTTATATACCTCTGGCCAGCTGCACTCTTTTCACTTCATGTATCAGCCATCTGTGGAGGTGTCCCTAAACCAGGAGGAGTCAGAGGGGGGTCTTTGTAGCCGGGAGTTGTCCTGTCCCAAGCGTGTTGGCTGTTGGTCTGTGGTGCAGCCAGGCCAGAGGGCAGCTGAAGCATGGCTCCTTTCACTTATCCAGTCTTCTCCCAGCATCCACATTCAGACCTCATGTCTGGAGTGCTGGTCCCCAGGTGACAGCCTCCGTGTCCCTTAGAGAAAGTCTGGGGTAGAAATTGAGGGCGTCTTGTCACCATGTCCTGCTTATTGACTGGGGTAGAAATGCAAGGTGAGCCTGACTGACCCTGTCTCTTTCTCCAGCAGTGACACAGACATCAGGCATGGAATGGCTGCTGCTCTTTGGTGGTGTTGTGGCAATCGCTGCGTCAATCACAACCTTTCTGGCCAAACAGCGGAGGTAAGAATGCTTCAGGAAGCTGGAGTAGATGTTCACATGCAGCCTTCTTTGCATCTTGTATATCCATGCACAGACACAGCTGTGGGCCTGTGAGGGCCAGCAAAGTATGGTCCCCAGCTGGTATACTGCCAAGAGCTCCTTGCTTTCCTCTGGGGCCCTGTTGCCATCTAGCTGGTTGGGACAAGACAATGGCACACCCATGGGACACCCAGCTTCCTGGGCTGTTCTCCTGGCCCTGTCTGTGCTCAGCCGTTGCCAAATGAGAGCAGGCCCCGCCATGCTGGCTGGGGGTCTCTCTCCTTTTCAGAAGCTCCTGTGCCCTTGCAGAGGGATGTGGTGCCCGCTGGCACAGAGGAGGGCACCGGGCTGGCACAGCCCATGGCCACAGGAAAAGGCACATAGGGCAGAGTTCTGGCCTGCAGGTGCAGACCACGGGCCAGACCAGCCTGAGGGGAAATGCATTTCCAGCACTTAGTGATTTTCCAGGAAGGAAAAAACTGGAACACCATTCCTTAGCGTGAATATTGTGTGGGCAAGTCCTGAGGGCTGGGGCCCCACCTCCTGCGAGGCTCACAAGAAAGGCCATTAGATGGCTCTGAGAGAACAAGACATCCTTGGATCCTCAGCCACTTGCTAATTCACGAGGCCAATGAGGCTGGGTGGGTGATTTCAGCTGCTTGAATTGGATCCGGAGATCTGTAATGTGTGCTTAACCCCAAAGCCTTTGTCTTTTCTCTTCTAGCTTGTGGAAGAAGATTGCTTGCATCCCAGACCCGGCTCCCTTTTTCAAACCTCTTTACCTGGTGCATAATGGAGATTTCAAGGTATAAATGGGCTACACAAGAGAGTGGAGCACATGACAAAGCTAAACTAAGAGGCCCATCGTGCTATCCTGGGGAAGGGATTCTCGTTAGGATGGGGAGAGAGGGAAATCTATTTCAAGGGAATGCCAAACAGCTCCAGATATAAGGACCAGAGCTCTACAGTGCCTCTTCTGTGCCACAAAGGCCTTTGTCATGTCTGTGCTGCTTATTCCTTGTGGATGCTCTCTCAGTGGGTGAGCTGAGCTCCTTATATGACTTGTGAAGCCTAGGAACCTGAAGGGAGTGGACAAATGGATACTAGGACAGCAACTGGGGTTTTCCAAAGTTTTTCATTCTGGGTTTTTCATCCTGGAAAGCTGGCTAGAGCTTTGAGGGCAAATAACTGCTGTAGTGTCTCCCTATGGAGGAAGTGTGTAATTTTGCCTACCCCTCCCAAATTCTCTTCTCATTTAACGCCAGCCAAACTTGCTCACATGACGAAGTGGCTTGCAAAGACTACAGAGTTGGCTTGAGTTCTCATGATAAAAAAGTAAAAGAATGTTGAGCTTTCATAAATAATGGTTGTATTAAGCAGAAGAGCAACTCATAATGCCATTGTCAAACTGTAAAAGTGTTGGCATGTGAGTGCAGACAGCACTGCCTCTTCTGGAACAAGTTCCTGTTGTTACAGCAGTGCTAATCTGAGACACTTCAGTGTCTGCTTTTTGTTTCTGCTTTTTCTTAGACCCTCTGGATGTGGGACACCAGCTGGGCCCTAATGATCTTCATGTACTTTCCCACTGCTGCATGGCTTATGTTTGCAATTAGGTGAAGAAAATAGTCTTGGATGGGTGCTGTTCAAGCTGAAGCCTGCGGTGACTGTGTCACTCCCTTCCTGCCTTCCTCTTTCAGCCCTCTTATGGCTTCCCCTATCTGCACCAGAGGGGTACTTGCACCCTCTTGTGAGGCAGGTGGCACTTTCTTCAGGGAAAGGAACCAGGACCAGGTGGACTCAGTGTGGGAATCCCTGAGGGTCATGAACTACCACTCACAGTGGAAGTGTGTCTGCATGCCAAGAGCCATGCTCCTCTCAGGGTGAAGCCACAGGATTCTCTGTTCTGTGGGAATTATATTCTTGCTCGTTTCTAGTTGGGCTGTTCAGTGCTGCCAGGAAGGGAATGAGCCTCAGTTGCTCATAAAGCTGAGTTACTTCTTGATAAATTTGCAGATTAAAGCAGCAGTTGCCCACACAGCCACAGCACAAGATGTACAGGCAGGATGTCAAGAGGATGTGGTGACGTCACTAATATGTGAACAGACCCGTCATTTTTGGCTGGCAAGAAACCAATTGATGTAGGGCTCATTCAACTGCATCCTGCCTGCATCAAAGCAAGTGGTTAGGTTATGTCTGTGAATAGCGATCAGCAAATTACACTAGTAATGCTCTGCAAAAAAGAATCCTGGTTGGGTAAGAAGCAGTGAAAATGTTATAGGAAAAGTTAAGACATAACAACATTACTCTTGTGTGTATGTGGGTCCTTAGATTTATGTTGGGTGGGAATTTGCAAAGAACTGTCAAGAAGGACCAAGAAATATTCTGCCTACTCAATTCTAAGAAAAGGACTTCCTGCTGTTTCTTTAAATAGCCTTTTGTACCTTAGGTGCGTTTCTGTCCATTACAGTTCTAATAATAAGCTCTTTGTAGGTTGGGTTACAAATAAATTAAAATAGACTTGGTGTTTCCTGCTGTAATGAGGATTATTTTTTTCCTATGCTCTGTGTCAGAGGGTAATAAGCTGTGTCACACTGTTCTCTTCCCAAATACTTCGCTCATGTCTAGTTATGCTGAGTGCAGTTTGGGCAAGTGGCTCATAGGATTAAGGCAGTCTGACAGCTGTGGCAACACCCAGCTCTCATGCAGCACTGTCAGAAGCCTTCACAGTGTTTATGAAGTTCAGCTTTATTACCTATTTTATACACAGCAGAAAGTGGTGCACTTAGAGTCTTAACATGGCTTGGCCATTGGGCAAATGACAGGGAGCAGAACGAAGTCTCGAGTCTGTGCTATGCCCAGCCTCTGGACTGCAAAATCCTCTAGGAGAATTTACTGGCATCCATTAGTGGCACATGCTGAAAGTTTGCTGCGATCTGAGTGATTCGGTGACTTCTTCAAAAAGAACAGAAACTTATACTTTGTTCTTAGATCAGAGAAACCCAGAGATGCCTTTGCTTCCAGATTTGACTGAATGCTAAGAAGCTTGTGATCTAAAGATAACGCAGGGCAGAGGGAGAATGTAATACTAATGGTGATACAGAAGGGCAAGATTCAACGTGTGGCTGAGTCAGTGTTATCTGCAGCAGATAGTGGTTGCAGCTCTTTGAGGTCCCCATCCTCTGCTCACCCTTACTTTTTTCTTGCTTGTATACAGAAGATCGGGAGAAGACTTGCCCTGAGCCCTTCCCAGGGAACTGAGGTTCAGGAAGTGACAGAGCAGGGCTATGTCTGTGTTGGGTGCAGATGAAGCACACAGAAGGAGAAGCTGACCATCCTTCCCAAGAGAAGCAGTGTCTAGGACAAGAGGGCAGGGGAGACTTGGTGTCTTGGGTTAGGACCTCTGACTGGTGCATGAAGGAATGCTGCTGTGGTCAGTGACAGTCTTTGCAGCATAGAGAAAAGTGCAACACCACACAAACCTCTCAGGGCTCAATTATTTGAGTCAGTTCTCCTGCAGCTGCCTTTGTCTGGTAATAACAGGATCTCATACCTTGCTATTTTGGATGAGTCAGTGATTTTAGAGTTTGACTCTGCCTCTAAAAGCATTAGGAGCTTTGGTCATTTCTGTGGAACCTCAAACTTGATGATACTAACCTCTCTCTCTCTCCCCATCTCTCCCTGTATGTCCTTTTATGTAGAAGTGGGTTGGTGCATCCCATACGAAAATGACCCTCGATTTCTTTGAATGGGGACTTGTCCTTCCAGAAGTCCTAGAAGTTTACACCATGCGTCCTTCCAACAGCACCTCACAGGAGGAGTTACATGAGCTGAAGAAAGATCTGCCTTGCAAGCCCTGTGTGTCTTGCCTGACTGCCCCAGGTCAGGATAGCCAGTCCCTGCTGTCTAGTGTGAACAGTAGCAGTGGGACTCAGGACCAGTCATACGGGCATTTGTCCATTGATACTGTGACTGTGGCTGATGAATTTACACCTTGCAACTGCCAGTGCAACTGCAACCGTGTGTACAGAGGACATGAGCATACCAGTGAGGAAGATAGTGCTGGAGAAACTGGTTACCCCAAGGTTAACATTGATGATGAAGACAGAAAGCTATCTAGTGACTTGCATCTGGCTGACCTGAGTGCACAGGACAAAATACTTGCTTCAGGCTCCGTGTCCACAGACCATCTGAGGAGTACAAGTGTCCTAGCCCACCAGCAAGTAGAAAGGACTTTGGAAGGAGGGATGGGGAGCATCCTAGAAGCCCTTTGCTTGCAGCCTAATCAGTGGGATTTGGAAAATCCAGGTTCTCCTGATGGTGAAAGCGTTTCCTACAGTGAAGGCTCCTGTGACTTCTTCCCTCACATTGCAAGGCCTGGTGACAGTTACCCTATGATCTGTGTCGATTTGGACACTATTGACAGTGGCTTTGTGGACTCAGACTGTGGGAGTCCAGTTGACTGTGAATTTGAGCAAAACAATCAGACTAACTGTGGGTCCATCCCTCTGGAGCGGGAAGTGGAGGACTTTCCACGGAGCTATGTCAAGCAGTGGGTCTCCTGTCGCTCTGACAGCCCTGCTAATGAGACACAGACCGATTGAGGACTTGATGCCACCTTGCAGAGTGCAGGACCTTTTCTGTACTGTGCCAGGAGCAAAATGTTAGCAAAAGTCAGAAGACAGACAAAGTTTACTTTGTGTAACTCAATTGCATATATGGGCTGTTAAGTCCATAGAAATATATGTCCATTTCTACTGCCACTTATCCTGTTAATGTCTGAAATGATGTGATTGATTTTTTTTCTTTTCTCTTTTTTTTTTTTTTTAATCCTAGGTCAAACTGCCTTAACAATGGCAGAAAAAGCAACTGTACCTTGAAAATTACCCTTTAGCTTATGTAGATGTACAGATTTCTTTTGATAGTAACCTTATAGAGTACAAAACCTTAAATTATTTTCCCTGGTATTCTCACATGACTTGAGAGTTTGGATGTACATGGAATTTTAGAAGCATAACCCATGGCAAGCATGTTTGTTACATTAAAAGTTCCCTACCCTTTCCAAATAACACATGTGGTGTTACTTTTCCTACCACTATCTTTGGTTCTTTAAACCCAGCTGCAATGGTTTGTTAATTCTGGAGGGTCCCAGCCCTGTCCATGGGGTATGATAAAAAACCATTCTCACATCATCATCACAGAACTGTGTGTCCAAGAGACAAAACACAGCTCAGGTTTCAGAAAGACTTTCTTTCCAGGTGGAACCTGCAAGAAAAAGTCTTCAAAATATAATAAAAATATAATTCTAGACCTGCTCTTGCTACCAGGGCTTTCTACTGAATCAGCATCTCTCCCAGCATTTTCCAAGCATGTTAACTGAAACATTGAGCAGTTCTTAGAACTATGCAGAAATTTCAGAAATGTTGTCCTACCTGGATGTGCCGGCAATTCTGTCTTCTGCCTTGGACCTGGTCTGCTGTAGTTAACAGGTCAGTAGTACAAAGTTTGATCAATTTCTGCTAGTTAACGAAGCCAACCCTGAAACTTCTATTTGCACTGTAACTGTGAATGTGTTCCCCTCTGACATCTCTGTGTCTGTTTTGTTTAGGATAAATTGTCTTAAAAAGCTACCATAATGCTTATATTGAATGTGAAGACTTGCATCTTACGTAGGCATAGTGCTACTAACTGATGGGCTGCTTGGCTCCAGAAGATCCCATACTGAGAGAACCTTTGTGGTGAATGATGTACGTTTCCAGTGCAGTAATAATCTGTTGCTGCTGTGATACCAATAAACTCTCTTCCCTCACCCCTATTTCCCCCCCCAAGACTTTAGCCAGCCCCACAGCTCCCTAACCAAGAGGGAGCACTGTAATGAAGGGAAGCTCTTTCACAGGTGAGTGCTGGGAGAGTCTTTCTGTGCAAGATATCAGGTTTTTTGGTTCCTTCCCTCCTTATTTTCCGTTTTTCTTGTCATCTTCTGTGACAAGTCGTGGGGAGGTATTGTCTTTGCCTGTTTCGCGTCCTCCCTGCTGTGCTGCAAGTACCCTGTGTGCCCTCCACGAGGCAGCAGAGGATCAAGCCAACTCCGCTTTCTTGATGAGCTGAGCCTGCCCCACACTGTCCTTCGAGGTCTGCTTGTGTCCTCCTTACGTCTGTGTGAACATGAATTCAGCAGGAGCATCGCTGATGGTCTGTAACAGTGTCTTCTGCAGTTTCATCTTGCAGACATTTGCACTTCAGAAACTATATTGTGGTAACAGGTCCCAGGGTGCTTAAGGGAGGAGGGGAAACCTGCCTATCTTTCTAGGCCCCTTTTACATCTCTGTTCTGCACGTTCCTTGTTTCTGTTAGTATCATTGGCCCCAGAACTGCTGAAGGAGCTGTTTCTGTTATTGTTATACTATCTAGCTGCACATCTGGTTGAAGGTGGTGGCTTGCTGCTGTGTTGGGCTAGAAGATGCCTCTGATCGCCCTAGGAGGTAGACTTCACGGGTGGAGAAGGGCTTGCTTTGATATGTGGCATAAGGATATTAAAACAAGGGAGACTGTTCCCTTTGAAGCAAGTGTAACAATTAAGCCGTTGACCAACGAGTTGTTGACACTGTGGATACAGAGGGGTTATCGCCCTAGGAGGTAGACTTCACGGGTGGAGAAGGGCTTGCTTTGATATGTGGCATAAGGATATTAAAACAAGGGAGACTGTTCCCTTTGAAGTGAGTGTAACAATTAAGCTGTTGGCCAACGAGTTGTTGACACTGTGGATACAGAGGGGTTTGAGGTGGGGATTTTTTTCTGTGCCTCCTTGCAGAAAACTGCAAATATTCCTGACCTAGCAACATCTAACTTGGAAAAACTGTGTTACCACAGCAATGCTGGGGCCATCAGTAGTGTTGCAAGTTTGTGTTAGGTTAGTTTTTGGGAGGCCTCCCCTTCTCTCAAACAAGCTGTCTTTAAAAGGTCTCACTCCACCCTGTCGTGACCTCAGAAACCCACAGTGGCAGATTCCTGAACAGCAGGGTGAAGCACAGGAAAGAGTTATGATAACAGTGTGGTAAAGGCATTTGATATTTAAGTGCTTGGGCCAGCAGACCTGCTTAAAAGAACAGAGTTTGATACACTGCCTAAGTCTTTCATTATGGGGGAATCTGCTTCACCATCCCTGCCATGCTCAGGTAACCAGGTGATCTAACTTCAGCCTACCTTGTAAAGGTAAGGTCAGTCGTGCACTGAGCAGTGGGATGAGGTAGTAAGAAGATGCCAGTAGCGCCCACCTGTGTAGACAAAGCCCTCAAGTGGTTGTGATCTGCTGTACTTTGCACAGTATTTGTGACAATCGGGGACATGATGGCAGACTCAAGATGTTGCACTGACCAGAACAGTTATCCCTGCCTCTACTCTGCCCTGGTGAGGCCCCATCTGGAGTACTGTGTCCAATTCTGTGCTCCCCAGTTCAAGAAGGACAGGTAACTGCTGGAGAGAGAGTACAGCAGAGGGCTACAAAGGTGATTAGAGGCCTAGAACATCTCTCTTTTGAGGAACAGGCTGCCCAGAGAGGTGGTGGAGTATCCATCTCTGGAGACATTTAAAACCCACCTGTACAACCTGCTCTGGGTGGACCTGCTTTGGCAGGGGAGTTAGACTAGATGATCTCCAGAGGTCCCTTCCAACCCCATATGATTCTATGAACGGCTGAAGGACTTGGGTCTTTTTAGTCCAGAGAAGGGAAGACTGAGGGGGGATCTGATCAATGCCTATAAATACTTAAAGGGTGGGTGTCAAGAGGATGGGGCTGGTCTTTTTACAGTGGTGTCTAGTGACAGGACAAGAGGAAATGGGCACGAGCTTGAACATAAGAAGTTCCACCTAAACATGAGGAGGAATTTCTTCACTTTGAGGGTGACAGAGCACTGGAATAGCCTGTCCAGAGAGGTGAATGTCTCCGTCACTGGAGACATTCAAAACCTGCCTGGACAGGTTCCTGTGCAACCAGCTCTAGGTGGAGCTGGTTGCACAGGATCATTCTGTGATTTTGTGTCCATTTACTGAGTAGAGCAAAGGAGGGAGGTCAAATATCACAGAATCTCGAGTGACAGCATGACCAGGATACAGAAGTCGTCATGGATGATAGTACTGACTCTGATTGTACTCTGATAGACTAACAGTGTGTTCATTAGCCAAGCACAGAAGAAGGTAGGCACAGAAATGCTAGTCTATCTGAGGCTATCTTAGGCTCAAAAATGTGCATTATTGTACAAGCCAAGGAATGCAGCACAGAGAGATCAGGTGCTGGGTGTCCCAGTAGCTTCCATTGTAATGTGATGCTTCTCTTACTACATTTGCCTGTAAAGTGAGCCAAAACCAGATGAGATAGCAAAATGTATGCTACTGGCCTGACAGTAGACAATCGGTGCATCTCTATACAAATGGAGCAGTTTGAACAAAAAGGAAAAAAAAAAAGCACAAAACCCAAAAAAATCCTTCAAGGTAGATGTAACTTAAATCACCTGATGAGCAACACTGTTCACTTGATGGAAGCTAATTGTGGGACAAGTGTAAATGGGTCCTAGAAAATATGAAAGAAGGGTCTGAGGGGCCTTTGGAGAACAGAAGTTCAGTTAATGGTCTTTGGGTGAAGTGGCACTTGGGGTACAGTGGAAGTATGAGAAAAGGCAACTTGCAGAGAGCTGTGATGTTCTTGTCAGAAACACTGCTCTGTTTTGGAATAGTAATACAAAAGAAAACTGGGAAAAGAAGTTTGTGATTTGCTGTTTGAGTCAAACTGCTGCTGAACTCTTGTATTGATTTTTCTGTCTGCCCTGTAGGCAGAATATTGTAAAAGCTGTGGGTCTTACATGGCTGTAGCATCCTTACGGTGACCTGCGGCAGTAGGCTGGGAAGATGCAGGGACACAATTTGTCTCTACAGGAGACAAGATGTTTTCTGCTGCAGCAGGCAAACTATAAGCATCTGGACATTTCCGAAGCAGCAGGTGTTATTTGCTTAAATGACACTCTGAAGGCTGCTTGCATTTTAGGGGCTTTCTGTTTCTGCTCCTGTTCAGGACTGTTGAAATTATAAAAAGTGTAATATACATTTAGATGGGTAACCATGGGGCCTTGTGGGAGTTGACCAGGAGTCTTACTGGATAGAGAATGCCCAAAAGCAGGTATTGGGAGAAGCACCATAACTCAATCTGTAGTACCAATTTGGAAACGTCTGTCTCCATTTCTACATGGCCCCTGCCTTCCTGTTTCTTGGACCTAAAGTTAATTCTGGCAGACTGTCATTCGGTCTGTGCTTTGCCTGCTCCTCTCTTCCTCTTCGCTGGCAGTAGACCCATGTACATGACTGACTGGACGGATCCTGATTGTAACGCTACCATTGCAGCAGGGTATGGAAAGATCTGCTCCTTATACACTCTGGGATTTGAACATGGAAGCACCTCAGTGGTTGTTGGCCTTTGCTTCCAGAGTTGCACCTCCGAGCACAGCAATGGGCTGTGGAGGAAGTACGGGAGAGGGCAGCTCAGGGATGTCTCGGGTGTCTGAGCACCATTGGGCAGAGCTCATGGACAGAAACGGTCTCACCTCACATCCAGACAGGGCTGGGAAGTGGCTTTAAGTCTCTTAGAGAGCTCTTCTGTTGGCCTTTTTATCTAAGTGTTGCAAGCTACTTTCATGTTCAGCCAATTACTTTGCCTTTTAAATGTTAACACTTTCAACAGAAATTCCTCCGTTTCTCCATCACTAATGAGTAATTGCAGATGCAGCTACTTTAACTCAATCTGATAATGTGAGCAGTTTTTCATTGGTTCTTGAGATTATCTTTAAAATCGGGCACAGTAAGCTCTGCTTTATTATGCCACTGCTGCTACTGATCATCAAACCACACAGCCTGAACTATCAAGGGACAGAAGCCCTGCAAAAAGTGAAGTTTCCTTTGAGCTGGTAAGATCGTTTAACATATTTCTGTGCTATGTATGCCAGTAAATAGTGATAGGGTACATCTGAGCTAAGATATTGAAAAATAATTTCTTTACCTAAATATGCAATTCTATATTGTTTTAGACTAGGAAAGTAGAACAATAAAATCACCAGAAGGATCTTTCTACTTTTGTTCCGCTCGTTTGCTGAGCACAAAACCACACTATTACGTTAATTCTGATATGGATTGTGCTAGCAAAAAGCACTATCTTGAACAAATGATTTTTAGGTACTCCTCCCAGACTGAAACAGATGAATATAAATTAATCCCCCCAAAATAGCCCTCAGTATTTGGGACTTTGCAGACAAAAATATGCTTTTAAAACGTATGTATATATGTGTGTGTACAAATATCGCTTTATTGCAGTAATCATCCTTTGTAGCAGCTTTTTTTTTTTTCAGCTTCTGGGATCCAAGTCAAATCTAAAAGGAGATAGCTGGTCCTGAGCATCAAATTGTGGAAAAATGGCTCTCAAAATGTGAAGGGAAAGAAAGACTGGTTACATGGGGTTCTCTCTGATAATCTGTGCAGATGAGGAAATCCTGCTACTTCTTCCTTATTCTCCAGCTGCGCGCGTGGTGATCATGTGAGTCTAATATGTGCACTTGACGTGCTTCTGTAAGACATGTGCTTAGAGGCCTAGGTATTCAGCAGGCAGATAATCCATCATTAATTTTTCTTAAAGGACCTACAAAATATTTTCTTGTAGGCAGGGATGATTGAATGAGTGCCTGTGACAAACAATCACACTTAGTAGCACAGTTGATCGTTCTGGAGAATGTGCATTTGGGGCTCACCTTAATGGATGGAGGGATGTGCATGTTGGTACAGACACACGATTACCTGTTGCTGTTTTACTCCATAGGTGCAAGTCAGTGTCTTGCCTTTCTTTAGTGCCTGTTGGTGCTGCCTCTGGAAGAGACTGAAGCAAAGGAAGGGGTAATAATGGGCAAGGGAGAGCCCGTCATTTATGACTAGTTGCTAAGATGTAAGAAATGGAAATGGAGTATTCAAGAGTCCAGTTCTGCTGTGCCTTCTCCTGCCATGCACCACTCACTGTACCTTGCTGCAGGAGGCAGAGCAGGCAGAGTGTATTTTGGAACAGCTCAGAGCCACTGCAAAATCAGAGCCTGAAGCTTCTGACTTCCTCTAAGATTTAGGTGAGCATAGCGGACCACAGAAGTGAGCTGCAATGAGAAAAATTGCACTGATAAAACAATCTATATAAAAGCTGATGGCAGAGGTGAGATAGAACCTAGGAGCTCTGGCTGTCTGCTGTGGGCTGGCGTGTAATATCACTACCTGCATCAACGGGCACTCAAGCATGTTGAAGAATCTTATGCACACATCTCCATGCGAAATCCTTGCTTGTGCTCTTCTATGACACTTCATTTCATGTTTTATTATGGCTTTGTAAAGCTCATCTTGCCTTACTTGTAGTCTTCCAAAGGTTGGAGATGCAAAGGTCCTTTTTTGTGTCTGTCACTTTGAAACCATTACATTTCTCTACACAATTCTTCTATCTCCCATTCTCTACCACAGGAGGGGAGGGGAAAGGCACGGCTGCAAGGCCTCATGTCCTTGAGCAGGTAACAGGCAGAAGAACTCTGCCCTGGAAACAGACAGAAAGGATAGAAACGCCACTGCAAACAGCTTGAGACCACCTGGGAACTCGAGGTCACCAGTCAGCTTCTGGTGCTGAACCAAAACCTGGACCGGTGGCAGCATACCTAGTGCATCATTTCAGGGCTTTCTCTGAGACATTTGGTATCTTTCTTCCCTGCAGAGGGAAGGTGGTGGTTCTCCTTTCCTCTCACATCTCCAACACCTACAGTTTTCACAGGGGTTTTCCGCGTTCACCCACAATTCACAGTGTTGCAGAAACTGGGCATTAGAATTAAAGAAAAAAAAAAAAGAAACAAAAAAAAAGGCATCAAGAAGTTGATTTGTCTTCCAGTCCCCTTGCTGCTAGCACTGAACATAGGGTATGCCAACAAGATGCTGCCTTGCAATGGTGCTGGCACGTTACTGGCTTCTGCTTGGTTCCTGGCTTGATAATCAGCTTCTTGCTTTCCTGCTGCTGCAGAAAGAACTGGCAGTGTTCAGATATGATGGTCACTGATAAACGGTGAATGCCTGCTGTGTCACCAAGGATCTCTTCACCCATCTGTTCTCAGTGAAATTGAAAAGTGCTTTTGCACTTGCTTCATTTTTGTCTCATTCTGTGGCCCTCTGATGTCCAGCACCAAGAGGACCTGAGGTTTGAACTGACCATGACCATTTTGCTACATGGCCTGTCAAAACCTTCATCCTGACCTCCATTAGAGGAAAAGAATTTTACCAAAGCAGTCACTTTCTTCTGGTACTTGCCAAGACTGTTCATCTGTGGTGAGGCTGGGCTATCACGAGGTCAACCTGCCTTAGGGTAATGTGGCAATTCTTTTCCCACAGCTGAGTGACTTGAACCAGGTGGGAAGCACAGTGAGTACGAGAGATGAGAAGAGGCATTAGAGCCTCTTGGATTCTAGCAAAGTTTACAGCTATTTTCTTGCAAGGCCAAACTCACTGCAAGCACCAACAGATGTTAGTCAAGTGACCTCATTAATATGTCTCTCTGCTTGCTATTGGTATTTCCCCTGAACACTACAAAATGTACAATCATTTTCTTTCTTCATAAGTGGGAAGTGTCTGGCAGTTAGTGAGAAGTGATAGGGCCTGTTTGTGAACCAGCTTTTTAGGATGTACTATAGGTTTACTTTTGCAAGGCTGAGAATTGCTGATGTTAACAGGAGAACACAATCATGAGCGCTTCAGGACAGACAATTATAACTGTGTTCTGTATCAATTTCACTACTTCCATCTGAGCTAAGGATTAGTTTGGGTTTTTAAGATGCCTAACCAAGATTTATACGCTATAAATCTTGGAGTATATTTTATCATGTTTAGGCAAGAGGTGCCAGCAATAAAGGTAGTTCCCCTTTGAATAAATTCTGCATTTTGTTTCTGTCCAATTGTATCTACCTTCAGTGTCCAATTACTGGATTCTTTATATCTTTCTGTAGTAGATTTAAAAAGCAAACTAAAAAACCCCAGTGACTTTTCTCCTACCTGAAAGCTGCTTCCCATACAAGATTCTTATGGCTGGTGTGAAATTACTACTTAGCCTTTCCTTTGGTTAAGTTTAACAGATTTAGTTGGTCTTCAGTTGTTCATTTCTCAGGAAAGTTATGCAAGATTAAATAATTCTTACAGCCTTTTTCAGTACTATTTTCATCTTTTCGGCATCTTCTTGTTTAAAGTGTGGATACCAACAGAAGAAATGAACTAATAAAGGTGTTACGGATGCTCCATGTAGCTGCAATAATATTTCTTTTAATTGATATGTATCCACAGTCTGTATGTTAGCTCCTCTAATGCATTAACATACTGCAGAATCTTGTTCAGCTCGTTAACATGCTATTTCCCAAAATCATTTTCTGATAAGTATTTCAGAATTCAGTGTTCCGTGACCTACTTATGACTAACATTCATGGCTTCTAACACACAAATTTGCATTTAAACATGCTGTATTTGTTCCCAGGTGAGCTAGAGAGCCAGGAAATGTCTGACGTGTTTCAAGCATGGCAGAACTGAGCAAAGAACTTCAGGGGGAGGGAGGAGTTTATCAAATCAGTAGCAATTACCTGGAAATATTCTGTCCTGGTTTTGTTATCTTGACCAATGTTTGTTTGTTTGCATGCATGAAAAGGTTATTGTAAGCACATGTATAATTCTACTTAATGCAGCTCTATCTTGTATTTAGTCAGCCGTACTGAAGTTATCACAGGGATCGTATGCAACCCTGATTAGAATGCTAAGCAGGAGAGATTTTGTGCCTCCTAGCCTACCTCAGCTAAAATCAGCTAATGGTGACGCTTCCTTTTGACAACCCCCACTCTGAAGAAGGTCGGCAGCAAAACAGGATATTTACAAAAAACCCATAAATGAAGAGGTGGTGAAGTGGAAGCCAGGAAGATTCCTTTTTTTTTTCTTGATCAGTATTCTGAAACGTAATTATTTTGCTGTTTAATTAAAAGGGACACTATAAGCAGACATAACTACAGGAAAGAGGTTGATACCTGGATGCTGCTGTCTAGCTTTGTGAAATCTTGGTCATGGGGTCCAGCTCCTGCTACTGTACCCGTCAGATCATTTAACCCCTTCAGTAAAACAATGATTGAAATACCACAATCCTTGCTAAGCAGAACCTTTCTCACTCATTCCCATTCAAGACTACTTCGGACCCTTTGCTAGTTAGAAACACAATCTTATTCTATAGCCAGGCTATACCCATTTGGTCTTGTGCTAATGCTGTACTTAGGGTATTCTTCTGTCCTGACACTTCTCTCTCCTTTTTTCTGAGTTTCTTCTGAGAGAGACACCGTAACCCTGGAAAATTTTGGTTATTTATTTCTTTTTTGTATTAACTCAGCCAAACTCTTTCAAGACAGAACATTCTCACAGCCTCTTGATTCCCCGGCCCTAGAGCTCAGTTCAGTGTCCATGCTGGGCAAGCAGCACAAACAGTGTTCTTTCAATATTTCTTGAATTTTTCAAGTAACAGTTTTTAGTGGTCTTTACTTATTAGTGGTCTCTGTCTATAAACTCACTCCATATTCTCTGGGTTCAGGGCCAAATCACGGACTCCTTAGAGGTGCTGGGCTTATTTGCTGTGTTAAGGTAATGGCAAATACTGCAAACTGGAAGCATCTTAAAAAACACCATATATTGCTGAGTAGAGCAGGTCAGCATCTTTCATATTAAATTTTGTTTGCTGGAAAACCATCAAATTATAAACTTTTCATGAAAAAGTATCATTTAAAATGAAAACTCATCAGGAAAGGATTCACAAAATAGAATCCTTGGTCAAAAAGAGAGAGTGTCCAGCATAACCTTATTGAGAGATAGTGTTTCGTATTGCAGAAGATACACTTCAAATATTCTTACACAATCCTTCAGTAAATTGGGATAATGACTAGGCCCTAAGTATTCTATATCCCACATGAGTGCTTTGAACAGGAGCATATCAGCTGTTCTCTCTGTTTCTGTCTTTTGGAGTTTTCTTTTACAGCAAGGAAATACTTATGGGAAGGAAATATGATCCAAAGATTCCCACACTACAGATGAGCAACTGGAATTGTAGCTTCTTGTGTATGTGTGTTTGTGTGTTTAAAAGAGACAGAACTATGATAGGTCTTAGTTTTGTTCAGATATAAAATGAGTGAATTTCTAAAACAAAACAATGTAGGCTAAACACCCATTGCTATCCCAGCTTTTGTTCTTGACCTGAAACCCTTTCACACTAGCTCAGAACAACTCCAAGTGGCTTGAAGAAAAGCCCCCTCAAAAGTTTTGTGATGCCAGCACGTCACCTAAGTGCTCCTCTAGTGAAGAGAAAGGGAAGGTGCAGAAGACCACTCACTTGACTCCCTCAAGGAAAAAAAGAACCATCATTAATGGCAGGCAGCAGTGCAGATGCTTTCAGCATCTTTGTAGGTGTAGATGGTTTTCAGCAGGTGACTACTGCTGATGGATAAGCTCACGGGAGAAAAATCTGTTGAAGCCTTGATTATGCAGACATTATGTCTGCTCCCAGGAGACCCCTGATCTGCAAATGTCTGAAGGATGAAGATGTTCTCAGAGAAGAACATCTATGCTTCCTCTACTGCTATGGTTTTCTCTAAGCATCTCATTTTGGTTACTATCAGAAATAGGATACAGGGAAATATGAACATTTGTTCCAACCCACTGTGGCTCTCTGCTGCTCTTAAATTGTCATAAACCAGATGCTAAAAAATGCAGGAACACCCCACCATGCCTGATCAAATGGCAGGAATTAAAGATTTCCTTTCAGGCAGCTGGTGCTGTATACTGCTGTGCAAAGTACTGATTACGGCCATAAGAAGAACAGTTCCAATAGAAGAAGTTATATAGCTGAGTTTGTGCCCTGTTTGACAGAGTCAAGGTCAGATTGTGTCAGGGCTGGCAGAAGCATATAGCTAAACCTTCAACCTGCTGGTACAAATACTGACAAAATTCTTCTAACAATTATTCTATTTTAGATAGTGTCTGGAATGGGAGGAGATGTGTGGCAGCTGGGCCTCCAGCTGTGCGTTATAGCTGTGCTGCTCCTTGGTGGAGGAAGAGGGAGAGGTAAGAGAAGATCTGGAATGGGTCCACTGGAGGACGATAGGCACACGCGTGTGCTCATTTTTGATTCACAGACCCTAATGTATGCAACAGAAGATCTTGTGACTGCCCCTTCCCAGATCCCAGGAAGCGGTACAGCTGGCTGGCAATGCCAGGCCTGGGGAACCGAGCTCATGCTGGGCAGCAGAGAAAACTTAGCCACTGACCAAACCTAAGGTCTTACACTCATCTCATGCCGTGAAGTGCGGTACGAGAGGGGAAGAACATCATGAGGAAGGGCAGATGAGGTGTCAGTAAAGGAAGCACTAGCAAGTAATGCATTTGATGTATTCAGCAAGGCCTCATCGGGTGATACATGAATGCAGCTCTGGTCTCCTTCCTCTGCAGAGTTCCCTGGCAGCCTGACCTGCCTGAATAACTACATGACTACTGTGAGGTGCATGTGGACGATGAAAGAGCCTGTGGGAGATGGACCTTTCCACCTGCATTTCACCAAGTAAGAGCAGCACACTGAGAAATATCCATGGCAGCTTTGTCCCTGGTGTGGGCAGGACGGCGCAGAGGAGCAGAGGTTGGGTCCAGCTGTGGGCTTTGCTACCTCCACAGCAGGAGACGCTGCTGGCTCTGCCACCTCATCACCCCATGTCTGGGCTGCCTCAGAAGCTGCTCCCATCACACCCTTTTGTGGGCCCACAGCCTTGAGGGGTGCAGCAGAGGTCCAGCACACAGGGCTGCATGGTCTCATTCCAGCTCAGGACAGTCCGTCTGTCTGTCCAGTGTCCCTTTCTGGCAGGGCTCTCTCAGTGCAGAGAACTTTCCCATCCCAACCTCTGCTCCCCATGATCTAGGGACTCCCACAGCCCATCCTACATGAAGCTGCCTAATCAATTTCTAATCACTTCTTGTCTTGTTGCCGAGCAATTAAACTCTAAGTGGCTTAATCTCAATTAGCTCATACATATACACAAAAGGATTTTGAAAGCCCAGCAAGCTATAAGCTTTAATAACTGATTTAGAATATTATGTGAATAATTTTTCCTCTAACAGAAGAAATCATGTGAATAGTTTGCTAGGCGATAAGATAATAAGCATTGTGATATGCTCATTTGAGATGAACTTGTTTAGATTATGTAATGACATTGTCATGACTACCAATAACTCGTGAACTATGACACGAGGGTTAGCCACACTGACATTAGATGCTTCATATAGTTTGGGAAGGTTAAGTCAAAAGTGGTCTAACTCTTAATGATACTGGATTTTAAATCTATGAAAAAATGCCAAGCTGATAAACCGTGGTATCCCAGTTCATTGTGGAGTCACATGCAAATTAAATGAAAAATTTGCCTATAAATGGCTGCATTAGATAATTTAACAATAGAAAACTGCTCTTTGGAGCTATTTCCCCAAGATGATGTTTTCTGTCATTCATCCTGTTATGCTGTGCTGAAGTTGTGAATATAAAAAAAACCCCAACAACAAAACACAAAAAAAAACCAAACAAAAAAACCAAACCAAACACAAGTCCAACCTCTGACATGTTTTGCTGTCAGTACTGCTGTGTTCATAGCGAGAGAGGCTTTTATGTACAACTTGTTAGCTCTGTGCTGTGCACTCGTAACTAACTGTCCACCCACTCCCACCCCCCTACACCTGCTTTCCTGGCAGCTGCTTTCCTGGCAGTGATGCACAGCAGCCCCCTCGCTTTCAGAGGGGACAGGTACTGGCCTCTCTGTGCAGCTCCTGGGAGGTTTGGTGCTCTCAGCAGTGAGGTTATGAAGAGGTCTCCTTCCTCCCTCTTCAGCCCTGCTATCCAGCCAGCTTTAGCATTGCTTTCTCTGCTGCCTGCACTAATGAGGGTCATGTTCTTCCAGAATGCGGTGCTGTGCTAAGCTGCCACCCACCTTTCATAAACTGAAGAGCGCTTAATCATGTGACTTAAAAGAAACTTTCAGCCCTTTTATTTTTCTAGCCTCTGGTCAAAGGGCCACAACGCCAGCTGCAAACTGATTGCCAGGGAGAACATGCAGAATCAGTACCACTGCACAATCCATTTAGCCAGCCAGATGTTGGAAACAGATGGTTATAGAGTCTCTCTCCAAGGCAACTTCTTTGGACGTAATCAGACATACATTATCTTTCCAGAGTACAATCCCTGCAATCACAGTAAGTACGAACCAGGGCAGCTGTGGGCTGAGGGTCTGCTTTGGGGTAGGTCTGAGATGTTCTCTAACAAAGAGTGTCTCAAAGACAGTAAGTGAAAATAATGGAAACAAGCCAGACTGCCCATCCCTGGAGAGTGCACTATATGGACTCCACCAATAAGGATGCAGTCCCAGCATCTCTCCGTTCTGACTTTTCCAGGACTTCAAAGACAGCTGGCTCTGAAGGACCTTTCAAGTATTATTCTCATCTGCATCATGTTTTCTTGTGCCATGGATAATGTACAGTTGGATTGGCTCCTAAATTGTTTTTTTCCTAAGAAATTAAATCATTAGGAATCAAAGTCATGGATCTAATTCAATTGGTGCTTCAGAGAAATGCTCTAGTATTCGAAATCTCAGAGCCTGTCTATATTAGTGGCATGTTAGAAGAACAGAATGTGACATCTGGAGTGGTTCTTTGCTTGCAGGACTATCCCCAGGGCCTATTTGAGTTATCATTAATTTAGGTCAGTTCTATAGTTGTTCTGTAAGCTAATTTGGTCTACAGCTGGCTTTAGTATCAGTTTTTAGACCCAGCTTTATCTCCCAAGTCTTTAGTCAGCCTGGTATCATGCATCTCTTTCTGTGGTGTTCGTGTCCCAAATATTGTGAAAAAAACCCCTATCTCTTTACTTGCAGTAAAACTTGATCCACCTCTGAATATCCAGAGCAACGTCACTGCCAGCAAGTGTCATATATGGTGGAGCTTGCACCTTTGGCACCTCGCTGAAATTCTTCAATACGAGTTGCAGTATAAGGAGTACAGCATGCCCTGGGAGGTAATGGGATGAGACACACACTGATATTGCCTTGCTCTTTGGGCACAATGGCCTTGCCACTCAGCTTGGGGCCTTCTGGCAGCTGACTGCTTTAAGCTGGTCTTTCTGGTCTCCCACATCAAGGCTAAAAGATTTTATAAAAAACATCAACACTGAAGATCAATAAATCTTCTTCTCCCAACTCAGGACAGAGGACTACAAAGGGGCTTGGAGCACCTCTCTTACAAGAAAAGGCTGTAGTAGTATAGAGAAGTATAGAGAAGTATAGAGAAGTATAGAGTAGTATAGAGAAGAAAAGACTGAGGGGGGATCTGATCATCTGATCAATGCCTGTAAATACTTAAAGGGTGAGTGTCAAGAGGATGGGGCCAGTCTTTTTTTGGTGGTTCCCAGTGATAGGACAAGAGGTAATGAGCACAAACTTGAACATTAGAAGTTCCACCTAAACATGAGGAGGAATTTCTTCACTTTGAGGGTGGCAGAGCACTGGAATAGCCTGCCCAGGGAGGTGGTGTAGTCTCCGTCACTGGAGACATTCAAAACCCTCCTGTACAAGTTCCTGTGCAAGCAGCTCTAGGTGGACCTGCTTTGGCAGGGGGGTTGGACTAGATGATCTCCAGCAGTCCCTTCCAACCCCATATCATTCTGTGATTCTGTGACCCCCGCATTCAGAAGTCATCCATCATCACACAGGCCCTGTTCTTGCATCCAAGAAAAGAGCATTTGGAAAAGGCTGGGGGAGGAAGTATTTAAAAGACTTTGCCCAGCCTTGTAAACAGAAATTCTTTGTAATACTTTGCAGACCGCACTGAACAAGACACCATCCAGTTCACTGCCACAGATAGAAATTGAAGCCACAGAGCTTCGCAGTGGCATCACTTACGTTGCACGAGTTCGATGCAAAATTTCTGAAAATGAGGATTCATACCATAGTCAGTGGAGCGAGTGGAGCCAGACAACAATGTTTCAAAGAGCAGGTAAAAAGAATGTTGTTTTATCTTAATTCATGTCTTTTCCTGTCCATGTTCCAAAAAAAAAGGAAGATACCCAGTAAAACAAAGCTTTTCAAATCAGAACTAGCCTCTTTCAAATTTTCATAGCCAAATCACTTTTCTTGAAATCTTTAGCAGCTTGTTTCATTTGCATTGCTTGGTTATTTGGGGTTCTACCTTGACTGCTAGATTTTCTATTAATTATTTTTGTGCTGATTCTTTTCCTAGATGTACCAAAAATGTCTGAAAAGATCCTAAATACCAGAACTATGCCGTTCTTGTTCATTCCTTTGAGTTTTGGCACTCTACTCTATTTATTTTGGAACTGCAAGCTTTCTTCAAGGTATGTTATAATTTTCCGTTAAGTTCCCCTTGATCTTTATAGCCTGAAGAGGGTAAATCAAGCATCCTTACATCCCTTTTGCTTCCTGCTTCTGCTGCACAGATTCAATTGTTTTCAAAAGCTCTTTCGATAGTCTTGGGACATGACATGTTCCTTGGCTGATGATAATTATTGATCCATCACACAATCCTTAAGGAGTCCAAAGTGCCTTTGTGGCACCCAAACCCAGCTAAAGCTCAAGGTTGAAGGTTTCCTGGAGTTACAGAAATTTAAACACATGGAAATTTTTTGTTAAGTCTCATGTAGCTCAATTAAAAGTGCAAATTCACAGCAATCCATAAAAGTGGTTATACTGATGTTAATGTTAAGCTACTTGTGACATACCTGGCAGTAGTCAGAATGTAAAATACCAATATAGGCAAACTACACTGACTCAGGTTCAGTGTTTCTTAGGTTCTGGGGCCAAGTTGTACAGAGAAAAAAGTGTCTCTAGAACCTTGGTTCAACCATCCTCTGCAACTTTTTATGCTGACAGAGCAAAGGTTAATCTCCTACCTTTTCCTTTTTTGCCTTGACGTACATTACTATGCTCTGCACACATGTCACTCTTAGAGAAACAGAATACATGATGTCCATATAATAAAATATTTTACGGGATAGACTCTAATAAAGGCACTAGAATGTCTGGCAGAATTTGTCTGTCTAAATGTAATGAAACTAAAACTCTCCAAAACACTCCCAGAAACAGTGGTTTAGATCAAATAAGTTGCTAAACCAATGCATAAATATCTCAGTGCATATAATGAGTAATAGACTAGTATGGAGTTTGTGGCATATAGCATTCCTCAGAAACTTTTAAGACTGCGCTTCAGGCTAGAAGCACTAAATGCCTGCACAGGAGGCACATGAACAATTGTATGAGATGTCAGAAACCATGTGAAATGGGCTTCTCGTGCAATCTTTCTAACATAAGTGTGCAGCTTTCATCTAATCAGTGTGCTATATCATTGAGACAGAATAGAGAAAACTTGTCTGGTTTTTTTTATATTTATTTTAAGTGTTGTTTTCTCACTTCAGGGCAAAAAGCCTCTCCTGTTTTAACATTCCCACACCAGCTGCTTTCTTTCAGCCACTCTATAATTTGCACAATGGGAATTTTAAGGTAAGAAATAAGTTTCACTTCTTTGTTATGACTCTTAGTTCATGAGGGGAGGATTATTTTTTTCTGAGATTAATCATTCTAGCTCCTGAGCAGGGTTATTGACACATGGTTCTGGTCTTCCTGGGAGTTTATACTTTCTCATTTTCCTGCCCCGACATACCACCTACACCACAAGAACTTCTGTCCAGCTTTGTCCTCCTTAGAAATAAAACTACTCCAGTCGCTCACTCCCTATCCATGCTGAACATGAAAGGTGCACCCTGCCAAAGCAAAAAACAAAGCCAAAGCAATACATACAGCTTGCAGTATATTCTGGAGGTGAAATCTTGAAAATCTCTTGTGAAATCTTGTGAAATTAGCAGTTAGCTTCCCTACCCCATTACTCTAACTTTGCCCAGTAGATTTGCACTAAACATCTGGATTATTGTGCCAAAGCAATATACAAAGAACAGTTATTTTGCAGATTCCAACTCTAGGCAAACTGTCCTGATCTTATTGATCCTTTCACCAGGACTGGGTTGGACCTAATGAAGCTTGTATCCAACCCAGAAGAGAAGAGGCCAGCAACTTAAACAAAGTGACTGCAGACGGAGTTTCTGATCTCAATATCCAAGATCTGATTTCCCAGATCTCCTTGAAACCTCTGGAAAGCACAAATCTGGTTGCCACAGAAGAAAACTTTGTATTTGCCTCAGGTCCAAGCCAGCAGTATGTCCCCAGCAGGTATGTAAGAGCAGAAGAGATAGAAGTGAAGCTGGGACTATTGTTTGCACAAAACCATGCTGACGATAAAGTTGGCCTGAAAATCTCTGAGATAATTAAAGCCAACCTTGAGAACCCTAGCATGGAAAGGAATTATCCTTCTCATTCACAGCATGGAAAAGGTGACTGCCTTATGCGTATGGAATCTTTTGAGATAGCAAATGTGTCCTTCAGCAGTAGTGACTATTGTACCTTGTGTGACAATGATACCACAGGAGGTTTGATTCCTGCTGAACTACTGGAGCTCTCCAACGGTAATAGTCGTGTCAAACAGCAGAGTGATCAGAGTGACCTTTCCTGAGGCGTACTGCCTGCAAAGATCTTTGTGCTGTCCTCTCACCTCCCAACACTGTCCTCCCAAGTGGCTTAAATGGTGGCTGTGCAGACAATTACAAACGTATCATTTTTAGGTAAATCCTCAATTTCTGTACTTCAAAAGAAGATTGTGACCAACTCCTCTGGCTAGCAAATACAGGCATGGCAAGGCCTGACACCAGTGACATCTACTGTCAGAAGACACATGACCACGCCCTTCCCAAAATGAACCTCTTGGCAGCAGCAGAAGTCCAGGAATCCCCTAGTCTAAGGAAGCAGCAGCAGACCTGCCACTTTTCCTCAGGAAGAGCTATTGGAATTGTGTACCTCTCAGAAGCAGCAATATTTGCAATGTGCTGAACCACGATTTAAACTCCATCATTATTTTAAAACTATGTATGATTCTTCATAAAACCATGATAAACAATTTTTGCTAAAGAGGGTAATTTTGCTTCTTAGTATGATATTGATGACTTCAAATGGTTCCTGATTACATCAGAATTTATAATTGCACTATTTAAAGACAATCAGGTGGCGGGCCTTGTTCTTTATTAACCTGAATGGCTGTAACTTTTTATTTTGCAGTAACTAAGCCCCATTTAGTGCTTTGATTTTAACAATAATTTATTTCAAGGTTAAGTGGCTGCGATGATCTAATGGAGAAAGGTGAAAAGCAAGAATAGCACAAATGAGCTTCATTTAATCACTAAACAGGCCAGGCTCAGTGCCTATCCAGGGCTTTTATTTTTTCTCCAGAAAAGATGAGTCCTTTGCTTATCTGCTCAACAGGTACAGCCTTTCTGAGCCAAATCTCTGGAGGTTTACTTTCTGCCCTAGACACAGAAAATCCTACATATGACTGATTACCCACCAAGCAGATTCCTGGAGTTACATCTAGGTTTACAGGGCTCAACAATTTTAGCAAGCACTGAGATGTGTACACGTGTATCTACACTAGCTGGCACCTGCATACACACATTCACTCTCTCTTCTTTGGAAATGCTTCCCTTGTCTCATGGTTTAACCCCAGCCAGCACCTAGGATCACAGCTGCTCCCTCGCTCCCCCTTCTGCCCCCCTGAACGTGTGCAAAGCCAAAGAACTATTGTGGAAAGTTTTCATCTGGGAGAAAAGCAGCAACAGAACGCGGAGTTCACATCCAACTTGTGTGACAGACACAGGAGGTGCCAGCAGTGATTTGTTTTCAGTGTTATAAGCAAAGGGCTCTTCTGAAATCTGAAAAAATATCCCCTTTCTGGTCCTTTGTGCTTTTTATCCTGTAAAAACTATATTCAAGGGTGCTTTTTATGCTATACCACAATCTAATGGCAGAAGAATGCGCTGTTACTGTCATTAATAGTTGCTAGAATTTCCTCTTGAGAAGAAAGTCTGTAAAACAAAACCAATTGCATGGAGGATTTTGGTGATTCACAAACTTTTAGACCCCCTAGTGTGGCTTGATATAGTGTCCCAAATTTCACATCTTCAGAATCAGAGGGATGCCTCCTGAAATTGTCAGATCAATTGTACCTTAAATCTCTCAGATCTCGACAGCCCTTGCTTATGAATGTCTGCACAGAAATTGAACCAGTTTCATAAAATCTTGTTCAGTTAACAAGGTATTCTGTACTGGTAATATTAGCAAAAGGAGAATGGGAACAATTATACTCAGATATGAGTAGGGAGCAGCAGGTCAGTCTATGGAAGGGAGAGCACAAAACTCAATGAGATAGAGAAGCAAAAGGAAATAGAGAGATTGAATGTAGTAGGAAATTACTCGAGAGAAATGAAAAGTCAAAGATGATGCTGCCTGCGTCCATCAGGACAGGACAGGAAGACTATAAGAACTGAGTCTGGAGATGATGACAGGCTGATGGTTAAAGGACTAAATGATATTGCAGCATCAGCCGTTCTCCAGGTGAAATGCTAACAACTTTGAGCTGCTTTTGCTTTTATGAAGCTATTTATAAAATGGGGAAAGTGCAAAGAGGAAAGGTACCATAGAAAATGTTAGTTGTTGTAGCTAGAAAAGGAGAATAAAATGCCTTGGTTTTACAATTAGGTCTTTGGAACAATCAAAGCATTGTTTTTATTCAGGCAATGAAAAACTACAATTTTTCTAGAAAAGCAGTGCACAAAAGTCCATTTTTCTGTCCTTTTGCTTTGTGGTTTTCGTTTGGGTTTTTTTGTTTGGGTTGAGGTTTTTTGTATGTCATGTTTGAGACTGGCATGAGGTTCAAGCTATGGTTTTTCACAGCTTCTCCCAGAATCTCTGAACTATTCTAAGGCTGAGTTTTGCCTTTAAGTGTAATATATATCCTTCCAGTGGAAGACAGAGAACCACCATCTAGTAAGGAGACATAATGGGGGCTCTGCTCAAAGCCTGTGAAGCCTTTCATTTCCTGAGACTACCAAATGCGTGTTATGTGTATCACCTACAACCAGAACAAAGTGATCAGTATTTTCCTCTCTCTTTTCTTTCTGTTGAGTTTTGCCAGAGGAAACAATTTCAGAAGATATTTAACTAATGCTTGTAAGCCACTAAAGAGCTGAAAATGTTCTGTGACAAAGATTTTGGTTTAGTTGTGAGTTTGTTTTTTGGTTTTGGGTTGTGTATTTTTTTTTTCTTAAAGTGAATTACATAAAAGAACTAACACTGTATGATTATTCAGAAGTAAATAAAGCAAAGGAATTAATAAAAACTTTGAATTTTCCGAAGTTAGAGTCTGACAGCTTTTGAACGAACTTTAGTTTAAAAAACATTGAGTATATGAATGATTAATAAAAGCTGGTTTGAAAACATTGTAGAAGAAGTAGGAGAGGGAAGAACTAAATGCTTTCCCTAGTTTGCAGACCAAAGCACTCAGCCAGTGCTGCTCTTACTACCATCAACAGAAAAAGGGGTACAGCTCATAAAGCCAAGACAGACCAGCATGGTGAGCTATCCCATGGTGTCTTGCCTGTGAGCACCAGTACAGTTCTGCTAGTATCCACTCAATAGCTATACCTCTGGTGAAGTATTGGTGTTCCCAGTAATGAGTGATAGAAGCTGTATCTCCATCAGACATTCTGCTGTTTAGTCATCTGTACGCTCATTTCAAGAGGGACAAGAAGATCAGACTGCATGTTTCTCAACAGCATAGATACCACAGGACTGACACAAACTCATTTTGAAAGAGCAGCAAACAAGTCACAAACACCAAGGCACAGCACTCAACCTGTTGTGTCCTCTCAGTTAGGATGACTTGTCTACACAGTGTGGCTTCTAATGCATCAAAGCAAAATGCAAGTGTCAAATAGTAGTGTTTGGCATGCTGAAACACTCCCTGCAGCCCTGGGCTTCGGGGCTTAAGATCATTGATCTGCGAGCTCCTGCTCAGAGGTGCAAAAGCCTAGTCTGGGAAAGCAATATTTTTTCCTGAGACTGCCATTAGTCAATGGCCAAATAACACCATAAATCTTTTCCTAGTTAAGTAAGCAGATAGGAGAGTAATTCCAGAGACAAGAGATACAAGCTTGGTCTTTTTAGTTTACTTCTGTTAAATTTGATCATTGTGTAAACAAAGGACAAAGAATGTTGGTTAGACTCAGAGCAGCACCATCTTACAAACTGCTCAATGTGAACTCTGTCAGTTGAGCTTCACAGCCCTATCACCCCATCTTTTCTGTATTGCTGTGCTCCTGTGAGTCACAAATCCTGTGCTGCAGAAGTCTCTATCATCACAGGCCTTTCCAGAAAAACATAGCCCCTTGAATCTCCCAGTATCCATCAGCAGAGCGTATGCTCTTTCACAGAGCCATCCACATGTTCACTCATCTAGCCAGTTTAAAACACAAAAAAAATTAAAAATAGTCTGTTTAATCTTCAGCAACTTAATCTAATCTGCAGATCCGTTCTGCTAGAGGCACACCAACTCTGAAGAGACAGGTGCTAATCAAATACTGAGATCTGAACTATCAGATCTAAAGCAAGAACCGTAATATTTCAGGACACGCGTATTTATGTACTGGTGATCATAATTGGAAAAGAAGAGGGATGTTCTTTTCATGCTAGGAAAGGGAATGAACACAGGGGGGTTGGTTTTATGCTGTTTTTAACAACATGCAAGCCAAGGACTGAGGTGCAACACAAAACTACAGTGCTTGGATTGCTTCTTCTTTGATGCTCATGAAGCCAAGTTAGTCGACAAAACCCAAAATCTCAGTGTGAAATCTTATCATTTTAGGGCTGGTGCACAGATTGATTTGATCGGCACACTTCCTATTTTCAGCGGAGTGCAGCACAAAGACTGCTGTGACAGCATCAGCTCTAGATATCATGTGCACGTACAATGGCCCAGTATCATGCGGTATTTGCCTCTGTCTAGAAGTAGTATATTTATATTCATACAGTACTGCAGGCCCAACACAATATGGCTTTTTGAGCCAAGCTGCTTCACATGAATAGGTAGTGCCAGAGCGCAGCAGTAACAGTCATTACAGTCTAAATGCAAGTAATGAATTCTCTTTTGTGTTATCTTTTTCTATTGTGGCGCGCCAAATGCTGAAAAAGTTGTAAGCCATAGGCAAGTCTAAATAAAGCACTAGTTTAAGAATCAGGGCATCAATGGGGACAGCTCAGTGAAGACCTTTTCATGGAATCACGGAATTGTTGGAATTGGAAGGGACCTTCTAGAGATCATCTAGTCCAACTCCCCTGCCAAAGCAGGATTGCCTACAGCACATTTTTGTAACACACTTTTACATTCAGAAACAGACAGTAGATGTATTCAGAATGAGATTCACAGTATTAGAGGAAAAAAATTTAGAATGCTTTCACATAAATCAATAGCATGCCTCACCCAGTTTCAGCATGCATACTGGTTACCCCATCTTTATAACAGGACTATAGTTTTCAGTCTCTTGCACAGTGATTCCCACAGCTCGATATATTGCAGCAGGATGTGCACCAGTGTCAAACACAGGTAATACAACCTTTTGACTCCTAATACCAGTATTCTGATCCCTCTCATCACCTTCCTTTAAATTCATGCCCTAAAATCTGCACTGCTGCTACCACCAAAGAGAGATATTTTTTTTTGTCTGCTGGAGATAAAGATGAAGCTAGTTATTTAATCAGCATTCTGTGGGAGGGAGAAGACAGGATGCATTCTTCCTTGGCTGGGAAATCTTGGACCAGCTCTGAGGAAATAAATGCAGTCAGCAATATTTCTTGGGCTAGAAAGTCCAGTGACATAGAAGTCACTTGCCAATCTGAATGGAACTTGTGTACATGAACTGAGGAAAACTCTAGAATTTGTTTATAATATGCCCGTCTCAGATCTTCCAACATTTGTTATAGTCAAAGTTTTCCCATTGCTGCAATACAGTTGCTTGCATTTGCAAACTGTGTATTAAAAATTCTTTTTTCTCTCTGGGTCTAGTACCCAGAGAGCTACATGTAATTTTGCACCTCTATGGGCAGTTACAGAAGTGCTTTCCACAGCCATATGATTCAGAGACTTAAGCTAGAACACAGCTGGAATAAATGTCTCTGTAAAGAGAATTGCTGTGTGTGTCCTGGCCTAAAGTGCACCAATAGCCCTTAACTGGCCTAACCAGTCTCACCTGGGACTTCCACCCACATCCTCCGCCCAGGGCCTGGGAGCTCCATTTAACCTCCATTTGGGCCAGAGTGATGTGATTTGTCTTCAGTTCTGTCTCTGTGGGATTTCCTGGATGGCCTCTGGACCTAGGCTTTAGGTAGGTTATATTTTGGATGGATCCCTTGGGTGGAGGTTGTAGCTTGTCTCCAGTCCTCTCTTTGTCCCTGACTCCTAGATGGACCCTGGACCTATGCTGTAGCCTTGTTTCCAGCTCCACCTCCTAGAGCCATCTTGGACCTATGTTAGAGCTTTGTCTTCAGGCCCACCTGCTATTCCTCCATTCCCTGGTTGGACCCTCAACCTGGTTCATCACTTCACCTTGTCTGGAGTGTCAATGAATCTTGTTACCAGCCCTGGGCTCTGCCCACTTCCTTCAGAGCCTGAGGGACTGCCCATGCTGGGGTCACCCAGCTG